GATTCACAGCATATACGATAATTGTTTGCCTTTGGTGAGTTTTTCGAATTTAAACAACTTAAATGCAGTTTTGCTAATGCACACATTGACGCTTTTATTGTTGCAATCACCGTTGCTTTTAAATGTGAATAATAAAATATAAAACGTTCATTTTAAAGAATACGCGCACATAAGTACACGCCCTTACATTTACTTCGCTTTGATTATTCAATACTCCGCTGATACTAAATCAAAATCTGTATCTACATCTACCCACCTACTATTTCAAAAAATGTGAATCAAGTAAATAAAAGGCCGTTCTGTCCTTCTGTCAATGTTTAGCGCACCTCAATCAAATTGGAATCGCGTCTCAGCGGCTGTTCTGAATTCTAGTAGAAAAGGTAAACTTAGGAAAATCGGTTCACAAACACCATTCTTGTGGTGCTATGTGTGTTGCCTACCTAACATAACACCTTTCGACGGGTCTACTCATTCTTTGACAACAAAGTGATTTGATCAATTGTTTTAGTGAAAAGACGAAATTAGCATTTCTTTAGTAAACAATACATTATTAAATGTAGAGTATCTACCTAATACCACAATGGCCATTAAAAAGCAATCATTTTATTCGAAACTAATATTAACAAAATAGATGCTTAGCAAAGTTGATGTTTTTTAAAAAGAAAAGAGGATAGTTTTAGTGATATTTTAATCATTTTTATTAAATTTAAATTAATAATATTTTTATTTTTAAGTATTTTTATTAAAACACGTTGTTGATTTGTGGCATCTCGAGTTACACACTAAGTTTTTTTACAAACACCTCTTTTTGTTTTACATTGTATTTTGGATTGTTCGCAGGAACACTTTTTAAACCTTTGACCTCCAATCCAAATAAAAATAAGGATAATTTTCCTGCAATCTCACGCAGACTAGGTTGGCCTAGCTAGAGTGAAACTGTTATTCATTGGAAACTGTTTCCGGTAATGTATTAATTTGAAGAACGTTTCTAGGTAGCCAATCTTATATACAGTCAAGTCCGGCTATAAGTATAACGAACCCTTACTTGTCCTTAAAAACAGTTCGCTATACCCGAGGCGAGGTTCGCAATATAAGAAAAAACATAAATTCGATTTATTTTATTCACACATGAACAATACGTAATAGACCCTTGCTTAAAAAATCTGTAATTTTACATTGCACAGACAGATAATTCTTGCGAATTTTCAGACACTTTGCTTTGTGCTGTTTTGATTTTATTGTACAAGGCAGTGTTTTATTGGTGACTAATGACTAATGAGTCACACAGCGGTTTAGGTTTAACTCGGCGGTCGGACAGGACGCCTCTCGACGATGAACACCACAGTTTTTACCAACTTGTAATAAAACGCCACGCGTTTCTTGGTGTAGACAGCGTGCCGACGCGGCCTGCCAACGACCGCCGTCGTGTGTGTTATGCATGTTTTGAAAACATAAGTGCTTGGTTGCCGAGTCAGCACAACTCGTTGTCTGTGTCAGTCTTGAATTTCGGTCGGATAAGGAAGTCGTTAATTTAATTGAGCAATATGGTATTTATCTTAAACTTGTGGAATCCCAGGGATCCTAATTACAAAAAAGGCGACCATCTTCTAGGAGCGCGTGTTCGCTTTTTTGCGGAAACCATGTTTAAAAACAAAAAGGCTCCGGAGGCAATTATATCGTTACCTTCTTCGTACATTTCAACACAATTTCACGAATCTTTGGCGAACACAAAAACAAAATATAGGAGAACTCTTCGCGAACCTACTTATTTCTAGTGTAGACGTTGTAATGTTCCTAGGGGTACCTCAAGCGGTCCTGGAAATACTGACTTACCCTATACTGACGGTTGGCAACTCTGGCAAAAACTACAAGCACAGCCACCTACCTTTCAAGTCGAAACGATGGTAGTTTCGCGGCACTTTTGAATTTGGATGGCAGTCGACTCGATATGGGTGGCACGAATGGACTCCTACGTTGTGATATCGGTTCTTTTTTGTGTTGGGACGTGAGACATAATCGGGAAGGGAATGAAATAAAAGACAGAATTTTTGTGCGTAAGAAATGACAAGAACAAATAAATATATTAACGCACACACAAAACCATGCCAGGGAAACCTTCTACGGGACTAAAACCCTGGCATAGGCAACACAAATACATGAAATAAATCACCTACAGCAATAAAATGCAAGAGAAAATACACATAAATAAAACATCTCAAATTGTATGATAAAAATCAGATAATCAAATCAAATGCAATTAAACAGGTTCATAAAATCAAAATACACAAGACATCATAAATGCAGGGAAAACATGATAAATCAATTCAGTAGAAAAACACATTAAAATACCTGTACGATCAATAGATAACACAACTCGTAAAATAATAAATTGTATGTACATAGGAAACATCAACATGGTGTGGCTCTACTCCAACCTTCATTAACATAATTTAATTTAACAAGAAAAGTACATGTGAGAATGCCATTGGTCAATAGCAAGTATTCATGTGAAAATCGATTATCGCTCAAACAGAACATATATTAAATAGAGGAAATGTTACTGAGAGGGCCCCCATCTCAGATTGCGAGACACAGAAATGCAGCCTGCATGAGCCGAGCAGGTAACAGATACAGCGAAAGGTCGAACTGTATTAGGTACCTACCTACTCCACGCAGACAGAATGCCCCCCTTGCACACAACAAACATCGAACCATCAAATAAAAGAGCCCCCCTTCGTATAGCTAACGCACAGAAATGCAGCGCGCCACGAATCAGAAAGTAACATATACAGCGAACCATCAAACTGTATTAGGTACTTCCCTCACGGAATAGTTACGGGTCAATCGAACAGAGCAACATCACACCGTTAATCAACTCCTCGTGAATAACAGAAATAAATACTTAATTAAACAAAATAATGGCATAATCATCTGTACAATATAAGACACAAACATGATTCATCTAACGGTACTCAAAACAAAGGTATGGAGTACGCCATGATTCAGATATCGTAGTTTATGCAAAATCAGCAAAATGTAAATAATATCAAATTGTGGCAAGAAATTCAATGATTAAATAGCTAGTACAAGAAAGAATAAACTGGTTACTATACCTGTAAATACATCTTCAAAACACCACCACCAAAAATAATCAAGAATAATAAAAAAAACGGGAAAGCGTGTGTCTTGCGTCGACCTCGTCGCCATCTTCTTCTCATTCCCCTAGCTTCGTTACGAAAATCCCCTAGTATTTGGCATCTGCGCAAAACGGTCGTTGGTTATATACAGAGCTATTTTTGTTTCAGATGTAAATGTGTGTTGCCTAACCATCAGGGTAGATTATCACAACGTCGCGTACAGTTCGGGAACACCCGAGTTTGGTCTGTACCCGGCTTACAAAACATGTAGAAAATAGTACTAATAAACTACCTCAACTAAAACTTTCTTTCAATCGTTCTCAGATCGTCCAGTATAGTCCTATTATATCATTCCACTTGTCCGTTTACCCTGTTGCAGCTGTTGCATTCGAAACGTGCTTAAGGCGGGTCCACATCAAGCGCGCCATCGGCGCCGTGCCGTGCCAAACGTTTTCGAACGTTCGCTCGTGAACAAAATTCGTGTATGTTTGGAGAATTGTCTGAACAGAGCAAATGCACGCACGTTTGGCTATGCTCGGAAAGGTTCCACAAGTGCTGTGCGTTTGTTCAATTCGTAAATAGGTGATCATGGCCGATTATCAAAAAATTAAAGCAGCGATTGCCGCATTTATTGTAATAGTGTATTAAAAAAAAAGAAAAACGATCGGCGATGGTGGATGACAAGAATTTTTAAAAATAGGAAGCGTTACAGTGGCAGTAACTTATTGTGTGACGTGTGAGTCATTTAAGACGAGCGAAATACTGTGTAAGACTAAGACTTCAGTATATCCGAAACCAAAACGGCGCAGACGGTAAAAATCGAAGTACTACCTACGTAGTATAATAAAGTTTAATTTTTGGTTAGGGGGTTCACTTAGCCCCATTTGAATTGTCCGAACAGCTTGTAAACAAAAAAGACACAAAACGTGAACACAAAAGAACAATTTGATTATAAGCACAATCAAAGTGCGCAATACCGTCGTTTTTTAACACAGAAGTTTACTTGTTTGAGCGTTCATTTAGCCTGCATTTGATTGATGAAACCAAAAAGGCACCAACCGTAACAGTTATTTATATACCAAGGCTGCGAAATAGTCGAAATAGCCGAAACAAACACTAAAATTAAGTAAACGAAAAAACAAATGATAAACAAACCAACAAACGATACACGTGCGGTAACACGAGTAACAATGTTGATTGGGCAGAATAAGTGAAACTGCACCGCCCATTTAGAAAATTATAAAAATTGCAATTTTGGTAATAAACAAACACTAAAATTAAGTAAACAAATGATACAATGTGTTCAATTTTTGAAGGTTGGGTAATATAAGTATGTATGTGAAGCTCTACCGGTCATTTAGAACATTAAATAAAACGTGCTTTGGTTGCAAACAAACGACCGGAGTAGATAAACAAACGTACCTACTTAATCAGACTATAAACAAACAATTTAATTTTTTTGTCAATTGATGTAACTTCACACTTCACAGACGTTGCTAACGAACAGAAATAGCCATAAACACGGCACTAAATGTCTAGAATTGTGCATTATCTAGTCCTAGAAAAATGGTACTTCTTTTGAGGATTCTCTGCAACGTTCAATGAAATTATTACCTACCTCTTGAAACAACACACGTTAAAAACGCCAATTGATGAATCTAAAACTGTATTTACCTATATCAAAGTATTAATAATCAGCTCTAAAGCAAATCGGGGTCAATGTTACAACCTACGTACCTGCTAAATATTACGTGAATATCAAACGACTTTTTCACGTGTTATAAATTAAAATGTTAGGCTTACAAGGTGGGTTCTTTGGTTGCCAAGTATAAGGTCGTTCATCTAGCTTCCTCAGAAAGTCAGAACCAATTGTAGTGTTTGCGTACGATGCTACGATGTGACTTATAAAACTAGTGTATTCGGCGCCTGAGTGGCAACTTATCTTTTGTCTAAGCCCGTATGACCTAGATAAAAATAGATACCTTTTCAGTACGTCGGTCAGCAGGTAAACCACATGCTATATTATTATTTGGTCCGATTTGTTCTATAACAGATGGAGTAAACTCCGCTGGAAAGATAACCTTACAACTGTTTACGTAATTGCGAAGTTAATTCACATTTTAAAAATAAGTTATATTAATTAAGTAAGTCTATGTGCACACATGAGTCATGCGTCACTAGTTTCATCATAATTTTAGTCACTGCCTGTACCTACTCATTTTCGCCTCTAGATAGGTATACTGCATTAGATTAGATAAAAACTATTAGGTACCTACGTACACGACGCGCGATGAGTGTGTAGAAATGAACTTTTATTTTGTTTAGATACAAACATGAAGAATGCGGCACAGTTGCTATTTCTGTTTGTTCACTTGGCATTCGTTGAGAACATCGAAAAATCGGCCAACTTCCAGACGGTCGTAACGCAAGCGAATTACACTCAGAATCATAAAGTGACATTGGATTTTAATACCGAACACATTCTCATTTATCAATCGACATCGGTAAGAAGGTAAGGAATTTGTAAGCCAAATATACTTTGTGAGATATTTTTAGACCATCAATCCGCATAATGTTTACGTATGGAGCGACCAGACGTTCTTTGAACATCCCGTTTTCGTCGTAATTAGGCAGCAGAAATCTATAACATCATGGCAGATACCGATGTCTTTGGAAAGACGAGCGGGCGGTATTTTGGAATTCGCCTCGACTTCCAGAATTCTGTGCCACAACAAGATGGACGTCATAGCACAGCTGCCCCGAAATGAACGTGAGTAATGAGACGTTATACTCAAACCCTAAAGCCCACACTCACACTTTCGTTGAACTTACGGGAAAGATTTAATTGTAAATGTATTGCAGCAAATGTCTCGCAAAGATTTTCTTTTGTGTCAATAGATGTGGTTTTTTTATTATGGAAATCACGATCGCGCGCTTTCGGTTAAACATGTGGGGAAACCGAAAGAGATTCGAGGAAATGTATAGGAGATAAAGGACTAAGTTTCCCACAAAAATACCGATTGTTTTTTTTTTTAAATAGCAAGTAAAACCTCTTTGTTTCACGCTGTTCTTACATGATGAAGTTCGGGATATTACATCATCAGAGAATCAGATACTGACGCAGTAACAACACAAAAACGTCAATATAATGTCCACCTAGAGTTCTGTCAAAGTTTATAGTTATACTACACTTACCCCCGCGACTTTGTACGCTCGATATATGTAACGGAGACCCAAAGTACAGAATGTAAAAATGTAAACACATGGGCACAGTCTGGCGCAAATGATTTGACGCATATATCGATCGGTACACGAAATAACAGAGTGCGACATCAGCGAAGAAAGAAGTTTAAAAAAATTCTTAATTCGATCGGGCCCAATTGTGAATCTAAACCATCCGGGGAAACAGACAAAGAAATTTCATCAAAATCGGTCCAGCCGTTTAGGAAGAGTTCAGTCATAAACACACGTGACAAGTGAAAAGCATTATACTTTATAAAGAAGATTACATGTTGTATTACTCGAAATTGTAATGTTTGACACATTTTCATCTGGATTGATGGTTGTAGAAGTAGACGAAATTTACAGATCGGGACTGATCAGAAGAGCATTCATCGGCAAAATCCGTTCCTCCTTGCAATTAAACAGAGCGGTAAAAATTACTGTGCAAGTAAAGAAACAGCTATAGATACGGTGCGGTAAACTTAATGTAAAAGTAAAAATTAAACTGTGTGAATGCAAAATAAGTTTACGGAAAAGCTCAAAATTACGGGACTTACAAAACGTACCTTGCGAAAATGCAAAACGCATAAAGATCCCCTCTAAACAACTGCTTTGCCGTTAATAAAATTAAATTCGGCTATGCCAAGGAGGGATCGACGGTTTTCCCAACCGACACAGCGTGTTCGGTTATCTACATCCGAAAATTACAACTTGTTACGACCCCTCTTTGCAAAACGTACACCAACGACAAGATACACCTGTTTCAACCCCAACGGCAGACACCCCCACACGCGTCACGCGCAGTAGCCAACAAAGGGCGCAACTGCGAACGCCGACCACCGCAAACACGACCACTACGAAATAATGCCGTCGAGGAACATCTCAACGGCAAGCAGGGTAGCAACGGGAGCAAGTCTAGACCACTCTTTACTAACGCCCCGGGTCTCTACCTTACTAACGCCTTCAAGTGCTGGTACATTTTCTCGTAAGATTTGCCACACTTCGAACGGGGTGACATAGGAGAGACTGCGTCCTCCAGCTGTGCCAGCGCGACCGCCGGTTCTCTCGTGTTCGGATTCTAATGTGTGTTGTACATATTTACTGATAAGGCTTAGGATAGTTGTGTATATATTTCTCATAGTGTGCAATAAACTCGGTTTCCACTTGTACGTTATATATTCGGGCTACCGACGCCGTCAGCACCTCCACCCCCGCAACAAACTTCTTTAATAAATTACGTCCTTCCCAGACGTCTTAAAAATACGGGACGGGTGTCAAAATTCAAATTTGTTAAGAGCACATCTAACGGATGTAACCTCGACTTAATCGGAGGCTATTACTGTAACTCATTCAACTAATTACAGTTAATTGTACTTATCCAAATGGTCGGAATGAAATCTTCAAATTCAGCAATACAGCCTTTTGTTCCTTAGAATGTGAGGCCAAACGGCAATTGATATTTTCCTTAAACTGCACGACCTTTCCGGTTTAATGGCGGTTGCCTCAGTATAGGACAGCTCGACTTTGTCGTCGGTTGCCTCACGATAGGACCGCTCGCAGCAGAATGAATTCTAGCGCGTGCGCGCTGCCTATGCAGTATCCCTTATGTGGTTCTGGTTACGGTTCTTGTATCATTTTTTGTACGAATATTCATTCTAGTTTTGTTATTTTGGTGGTTTTCCGTTTACATTATTCGATTTGCTACTGACAATTACGAATAAGTATAATCGCACCCGAAAACAGGGCAACTCGTGTCAATGTTGAACAAAAAGACTTTTCGTTCAACATTGGCGCAATCCTATTCCGGAAGTCGATTGCATCTTAAGAAAAACATAGATTGTAGATCGACACAAGGTGTGCCGTGACCGGCAATCTTTCTTGGCGAGAGTTATAACGTAAAGTGCACTTTATACAGCTCTGATCGACGGTGGGATTGATTGTTTCGCACAACGTGATTTTGCTGACATCTAGCTGACGCTGTGTTGATTCTACCTACTGATAGTTATGGTGTGCATATCAGCTACCATATACCACATCCTTAAAGCTAAAGGTCGGCTTTACAAATTAACCTACTAATTTCTACATTATGTTTCAAACTCTTTTCGGAGCGACAATCTTTGTAATGAAGCGCCCAACTTAAAACGCTTCTAGATAAGAAGAGTTTTAAGTTACATATGTTATAGCTACTATGGGGAACAAATTAAAGTACTTAATGCGGGCTAAATTGCGCTTGCATACAGAAGTGGAGCTTACGGCTTAATTTGACTCACCACCGGAACTCTGACCAGGCCCGGACACTGAAACGATTCACAGATTGATACCTCTTTCTTGATTTGGTGGGTGGTGGTGCATAGACGTTCTTAGTTGGTGGAGCGATTTGTCTGGTTAATTCCGATAACGAAGGAGACCTGCCCTGCTTAATAGTCGAAAGAAGGCACGGAGGCGGACCGCTCGAATGCACGCTTCGCCGTAGTCGTAGCGGCTGTACCATGCCCTTTGTACACACTGCCCGTCGCTACTACCGATCGAACCGAGCGAGGTCTTCGAACCGATGCGACGTCCGTCGGCCTACCGTCGACGGACGCGTGGGAAAGTCAACGGAACTTTATCTTGTAGAGAAGTGTTTTACAATTTATTTAAAAATACTGTTGGTTGTAGTTCATGTAATATAATTTAGTCCTATAGTTATCAGTATCGTAGTAATAATTGGTCTTTTTCACACGGAACTTCACAACATATTACAAAAGTAATAAATAAACATGAATTAAGTGTAGTGAAGATCTAGAAACATATGACGCAAAATCAATTGACAGAGTGCAATCAGAAATGACAGTTATAATTTATAATTTTTCTGTGTTTTTATTTGTTGAATTGTTCGTTTCGGTTTAATATGTGCTAATAAAAATAATAATGGACAATTTGGTATTTCCGTAAGTCATCAAGGTAACGTACTTTGGCCAGCATCACAATACGTGACATTACAGTGACTGGCATTGTACGTGACATAATAAATAAATAATTTGAAAGTTTGCCACAAAATGGCTGCCGCATACCACGTGATTCGGCAACCAAGATACTTAAGCCCATCACACAATGAAAAAAATAAGGAATAACAAAATTCAGTCTACTGATCTTTATGGATTTGTACACAACATTGAAATATGAAATAAGCCTAGGAAAGAAGAAATAATAATTTTGTTCAGTCGAATTTTTATTCCATATTTCATATTGCGAACCAATGACATTAGAAGAGGCGCGGGCGTATTTTATATTTATTTTATCTTGTTAACGTAAAATAAAACAAGTATGAGGTGTTGTTTTTGTGAAGTTATGAACTTGGAAGTTGGAATTATATTGGATGTCGGTGCAATTAGCCTATTTCCTTACTTTTAGCTGCCATTATAATGACATAAATTGAAGCGGCATGGTGTTCTGATGGGCTTATAGTCTGTTGCTATTTGTTTGTTGTGTTTTGCGTCTACGGCGTCACTATTTCTTATTCCATATTTCTTATTCCTTATTTTTTTGATTGTGTGATGGGCTTTACTGTCACCACTGTATTGTATAGAGTCACTGTACCCTTGATTACCAAAACATAGAGCGACTAAAGGCCGTTGCACACTCCGCAAAGCGCCTTTTTCGGTCACATTGATTTAAATAAATAAATAAATACACTTAAGCGAAGCGCGGCGTGGCGTATCGATGCGATTTTTACGGATTGGTATATAACAATATTTTACTCCGCGTTGGACATCCTCACAACAACGGTTCCTGTACGCCAAAAAATTGGTTTAGGTATTACACGAGTAACTTTATCTCAAATCTTCCCATCGTAGTTTTTGACATAACTTCTTTTTAGTGTTGTAGTTTTGGAACTTTGTTTTTGTGCTGTTGTGAGCATTAACTGCTTCAGGGTGAAACTCTCTTACGGCTAAACGCAACACTTCATATCCAATGAAAATACAAACAAAATTTTTGTGGTGCAGCTTCTCCTCTAATTAGTATTATTTTTTAGGAAACCTTTCAAGCGAAAATTTCCACGAAGAGATTTCCATTGCGGTCGCAACGTCGTCTAAACTACCAACGTCGGTGATTATTCGAGTCGATGAATTCGAACACTTTTTCGTGGAAGAGCTAAAGACGTACAGGGTGGGCGCCGCCGCTAGTCATCCCAGATACTTCTACTACAAGTTTCCCGATCCGAGCCATGAAAATTACAGCAGTTCGGTTGTTTTGGAACTAACGTCGAAAGATACCACGTGTATGGTGGTCTCTATTCAAAACGCTTCGGTCAGTTCGCAACTCTCCTTTACCTACTCTTTTTTTGCATTTTGCTACCTTCTCTCTTTTTTTATTGGTAGATATTCACAGTTTTGTAGTTTTGATTTTGTTGGATAAACTCGCATTCTTTCGCCTCTAAGAGGAGGAAACCTAATCATACTTCCCAGGGACACACTAGAATTAACTAACACTCCTTGTGTAGCCATCGTTTATATTAAAAAATGTGATCATTTTAGTGTCCCGTTGAAGACAGTTTGAAAGGAATCGCATTCAAAGGCATGTTCCAAACAGTTCAATCAAAAGGAGGGGTTATTGTGAAAGTAAGTGGTGCAAATACTTATTTCATATGGGGAACGTAGCTGTGTTAATTCCAGGAAAGAGATTATCCCAATGGTTTTTTCATTGTGATTATAGTACACGGGGATGATTCTGGGTGTAATCAAGTCAGTTCAACTATTCCAAAAGCTTCAAGAGGAATAAGCACGATCTACAATTACACCACAATCGTTTCATTTCAAATAAAGCCTACTCTTTCACACTCTTCATACTACATCGCAGCGTTTTCCACGTTGATTGGTTTGCTAATTATTTATGTTGTATTTATATTATCTACATGGGGATTTTACAAGTACGCGAATTTGTGGAGGAAAAATGGCGGAACTGCTCCTGAAGATATTACACTGGAAGGTATGGTACCTACGCCCCGTGGGAAATTGTAAGATGGTTTTACAGAGGAAACCTGTCAGACGGAATTCGATGAACCTGACACTAAACTCACATCAACAATTCTTACCCTAAATGTCTTGGCAACGAAGGGCGCAAAACATTACGAGAAAAAATCTTACACTTATTTCTGGCATGTGCTCAGTATTGCAATTTTCTACGGAATTCCAGTGGTACAATTAGTGATTACTTATCAACGAGTAAAATATTCCATCCCCTATTGACTCCCCTTCCCTACCTGCACTGTTTCAGATGCTGAATGCGAGTGGAAATTTAGACTTTTGCTACTACAATTTCTTGTGCGCCCACCCCTTTTTTGACATCAGCGATTTCAACCACATATACTCCAACATTGGGTACGTGTTCATGGGAGCGCTCTTTTTGCTAATCACTGCCTATCGCCACCGCTACTTGGTGCACAAAAGAGTAAGTTTACATGCTAGGTAAAATTCACTCATCCAATCTCGACTTAGGGCCACGGGATTCCAAAACATTACGGTTTGTTCTACGCCATGGGTATGGCATTAATAATGGAAGGGATATTGTCAGCCAGTTACCACGTCTGCCCCAATCAATCTAATTTTCAATTCGGTATGTATAATGCCAACTTTCGAATAGGTACATAGGTAATTCAGAAAATTCATCACAGACACAAGCTTTATGTACGTAATGGCGGCACTTTGCCTCGTTCAACTGTACCAGAAACGGCACCCTGACGTTAACGCGGACGCTTACGCCACATTCGTAGCGTTGGGAATTGCAATTTTTTCCGGTAAGTATTGGTGCACTTCAAACATGGCGATTGATTTTATTTGTTGCAGCGATGTTGGGGGTTTTAAACGGTCATATCGCTCTCTGGATTGTTTTTATTATCGTATACATTTCTTTTTGTTTTTACGTTTCGTTTAACATATACTTTATAAGTTATGTAAGGAAAGGTTTAACTAGCGTGTATGATGAATGGCAGGAAGATCGTGATGTAAAGAAGGCACTTGAACCTAGACGGAAAGGTAAATACGACCGGAAATTCACCTGGTAAATCTTTCGTTTCAGCTCACTTTATCATAATTATGGTGGCCAACGTACTAAATGTAATACTGGCCTGGATGGGTATTGTGTGCCATTTTATGGGTACAGACTTTGCAACATTTCTACTGGGACTTCTGATGGGTAACACGATCATGTACGCAGTCGTATACATAATTATGAAGGTATAGTTATCCGTCTAAAAAACGTGCTCAAATCTTTTGTTCTAGTATGTGAATCATGAAAAACTATGTGCGCAACCGATCTTATATGCAGTACTGGGCATGATTATTTGGGCGTTTGCGGCGTATTTCTTTAACAGCAACACTTCCTTATGGAGTGTAAGTATTCATAAAAGTGTACCTATCCTATTTTTTGCATAAATGAACATTTTAGGTGTCTGCAGCAGAATCCAAGGAGTATAACAAGCACTGCATTGTATTAAATTTTTATGATAATCATGACGTTTGGCACTTATTAAGCGCCGTCGCACTATTCTTCAGTTTTATGCTGCTGTTAACTTTAGACGATGATTTAATTAATACTCCACATACCAGTATTATGGTATTCTAATGTGTCAATTGTGAGGCTTAAAAATAAACAATGAAATGGTCACATACTCTTTAATTCCGGTAACGAGTCAAGTAAGCTAAATTTTTCTTCTGTTTAAAATACGGGATTGTATGGGGGGGGGGGGGGTCTACTTTAGTTTGAATTCTGGCATTCTCATGTGCATTTTTCCGTGTTAAATGATGGACGTAGACAAAGTGATGCCCATTTTGATGTTCTTTAGGTACGTGCAATTTATCATTTTACGTTCTGTTTTGTCTAAATTGCCGTAGATGTGTTTCATGGGTTTTATACTCAAATGATTCATTTTGTTTTCCATTTGCTCATTTGTATTTCGTTTTGATGGATTTTGTTTAGCCACATTTGACTCGATTACCTGATTTATTTCCTGTATTTGTGTGTGTTATGCCAGGTTTTTTTTGCTGTTTCTTTTTTTCCCTGGCTTCCCGGTTTGGATTTGCCCGCGGAACCAAGCTTCGTGCGTAATTAATTTCAATTCTCTTATTCCCTTCTGACGCACAAAATTCTGTCTTTTATTTAATTCCCTTCCCGATTTTGTCTCACGTTACGACACATAAAAGACCGGCATAGTAAAGGACAACGTAGGAGTCTCATTCGAACCACTCCGTCCCAGCCGAACGCTACCGAGATTTGAAAGTGGCGCGAAACGACCGACATTTTTAATAATAATAATAAAAATTTGCCGTGTCGGCTGAGGAACCCCTACGAACATTGCAAAGTTCTTGAAGTGCTTTGTTTTATAGCACAGAATTGGACAAAACTGGCTTGATGAATAAGATGACACATTTTCGGTGGTAAAAACATTTAACTTTTAATAAAAAGAAGAACCTAACGAATCGCCTTGCTGTACACTACAACTGCTTGCTTTTTGAACTCGACAAAACTGTATCCGTAATCGGACAACGGTCGTTAAACTTTTCACATCACTTTGCTTAATTGCTTTTGCACAAATTTATTATAAAAATGACGCAACTAAACAAATAGAGTTAACTGTCCAAAATTTATCGTACAAAGATGTGCCCGCTTCTCAACCGTAGCATCCTCGTTTTGTCATTGACTCCGATATTTAAGGAAACACCAACAAACTTCTTCAAGAATTTTCAAGTAAATCGGCAATTACAACGTAACGCACCCACTTCTCCACATGAAACGCGCAATCCTTCGTAACATCTAAATCTCTTTATCAGCGGAAGAACACGTGTGTTAATTAAATTTCGCCTAACAATAAAAGTTCTTATCGCAAACGAGCAGATAAAACCATTTATAAAGTGCGCAAACTCGACTAGATTTGTCTTAGTTAAAGCATCTTATCTAAATTGAACAATTTAAAAGCGATAGAGTTAAAACGATACAATTTACGCATCTAACAAAATTTCTAAATGGAATAACAAATACATAAATACAAATTCAAGTGAAATAAACCAACTTTCTGTTTATTTATAAATAAACCACCAGATTTGCACTTAAAAATTGATATTATACCACGTACATACAGGGTGGCCCAACCTTATTGAAGTTACTAACACCAAAATAACGGCTGCGTAACGTATTTTACCGAGGCCTACGATATACTTACAGGCCGGAGCAGGACACATTAAATACATTACGGCTTATGGAAAATCCCTGCGCAGCTCCACTGTTTATTTTTTTACTCCGAATCCGTTTAACATAGAGCCACGAAATTTCAATGAGAGCTGGTCAATGCTACAGACAATTAAATTATGATGTTTGTTAATTTTTAGTAACACTGGAAATAATTAGTCTTATGGTTTAAAAGTATTTGAAGGTAAAACGACGATAATAAATCCGTGTTTTTCTATATTTCTACCGTCATATTTCTGTTTCTAGGAACGATATCATTATAATTCTTTCGGTGTCTTACTGATGGAATTTCAAATAGTGCTTGCAATATCTAGAGAACCATTAAACTTACAAAAATAAAAAAAATATATACAGGGTTAGTCAAAAGTATGGATATTCTTTTTATAGTCTTAGTTAATAGTAATCTTGCATTAATTCTTATATGAAAGTCGCTCTATGACCAACAGAACATTGTAGATATATTGTCATCCTCTGCACCAGCATCATCAACGAATACTTCCATTTCTGTTCGCCATGCGAGTTAAAACAAGATCGTATAGAATTGCCACTTACCAGTGGTAGACATCTATTTAGTTTCTAATGGTAGTGAGTATTATAGAGAAGACTATGAGCTGTTGTAGACGGCGAGACATGCACAGAATATTCTTGTCAGACAGCCAGGTAAATAACAAAAATATGAAGAAATTGCCACAAGTGATGCATGTAACACTTCCGCAGAGGCTTCCGAGCGAATGTGCATAATATTTTAAACACTCTACACCTACCACTTCCTATATTCCATTCGATACTACCACACTAACCCTGTATATAATATTTTTAATTTTGTGAGTATAATGGTTCTCTAAATATTACAAACATTATTTGAAAGTCGATTAGTATAATTATTTAAAAACTAAAATTTCCATTGCGCGTTCGCGTGTTCCGGAAGTTACTAAAACTGCCAAAAAAAGGAAACAAAAGAAGATTTCTTAAAAATTCCTTCTGAAAAACATTTTTGTGTCCTTTGGCCACAATTCATTCGATATATGTGATACAATTGTACCAACAACAAAAAAGTTTCTCACGTGGTGAATTTAGCTCTGCGCGGATAATTAATGCGCGATCTTATGGGGGCTGTTAAATCTACACTAATACCAGATAAGGCATTATATACGCATAATTGGAAGCACATATCATTCTAGTTTAAGTCACCGAAAGAATTATAATGATATCGTTCCTAGAAACAGAAATATGGCGGTGGAAATATAGAACACGGATTTACTATCGTCGTTTGATCTTCAAAAACTTTAAACCATAAAATTAATTATTTCCAGTGTTACTAAAAATTAACAAACATCATAATTTAATTGTTTATACCATTGACCAGCTCTCATTGAAATTTCGTGGCTCTATATATGTTAAACGGATTCGGAGAAAAAAAATAAATAGTGGAGCCGCGCACGGATTTTCCATAAGCTGCAATGTATTTATTGTGTCCCGTACTGACTCCTAAGGTCACGTGACTTTTTCGAGCGTTCCGCCCTGTAAGTATCGTAAGCCTCGATTTTACACAACAAATATGTAAAAGAAACTGTAAAGTTCTTATATAGTCACCTTTGTATAAATGATTTTTATCCAACACCTCTATGTTATCCAGTCATTATCATGACGAAATTAAACGAGTAAGGTATAATATAACCCACTAATGAGTTATGGACGTAAAATAACTCACTAGCAAGATAAAGTACAGGAACATTCTTTTATTAATTAATTTTTTGTTGTTTATTATTCCCCATAGCAACGAATTATTGCTTTTGTATTCCATGCACTCTAGCTTTTCGCGGAACACGCAGTTTTTAAGATTTCCACGTTTTAAACCAGCTTGAGGAGGTGTTGGATAAAGTTTTGTATGGTGCACGTGTGTTAATTACAAATAAGTCACTTGAGAAAATAACCCCACTCGGCCTGACGGCCTCGTGGGCTTACTTTTTTCTCGCGTGACTTATTTGTAATATAACACACTTATACCATAAATAACTAGTATTACATATTAATTGCAATGAAATAAGGTTTATACAGAGTGTAATAATTAAATGAAAAAAGTTTGGGAGTGTCATGCGAAGTGAATAAATTACTTGGAGGATGGTAACAGTTTACATTTTAGATTATTTTACACCAACTTACCCTAAAATTTATTTACAACTTATCTTACGGAGAGTGCAGGTATCGCACAAATTCACGACGTAGTCGAACTAGCGAACGTATATTCGTTAGACGTTCAAGAGGAAAATGTTCTTCATCCACCATGTACTCGAGTGTCGATCGCATTCGTTGCTTATGATGAGTTGGTGATCAAGGTGGTTAAAGGATCAAACTCCCCCGTCGATGGAAAAACCATCGATGAAAATTGTATAGCCGTCCAGATTCCAATAAATACGTATTTGCAAGGACGTGAACACATACCGCTCTTAATTATCAACTTCATGTGCATCCGAGTAACTGAGAAAAAAAAACCGACATTTTGGGCAGCCTCTACATATCCGCAATACAACTAATAAGCAGACTATCTCAAAATCTACTTAATAGTTATTTATGTATCAAGAGCATTAAGGCGATATTTATGCCGAGGGCAACAGAGCCCGAGGGCCTCTGGCCCGAGGGATTGTAAGTCGCCCAAGGGTTAAATATCGAGTAATGCCTGAGGTGCATACAAAATTTTATTTTTCATCGTTCCAAATAATGTATGTCCAATATACAAATGTAATGATTATTGTTAGTGCCTCATACGAATCAAGTAGCATCTTTTTTTATTACATAACTCCATCAATATATTTGACAGGCAGTTTGAGGGCATAATGAGAGGACATAATGGATTGTCATCTCATTATGCCCTCTCGTTATGCCCTCGGGGGTCATAGATTGCTTTATATGCCTCATATGACAGAGATAATTGGCATATAATAGCCAAATGAAAAATAAAATAATATAAATGTCCCCAATGACATAGCCGTACCGTATGAGTTAGTTACGTCAGTCAAAGTGAAAATTATTCTTCGCTTATGATACCCACACACTAGACAGTAACTGTTATGCGACCGGCGAGTTTAAAATATCTTTTCTATTTATTAATAATAAATGTACACAATCACGTAATATAACAGGCCTAAGCAAACGTCAATTTCAACTGACTAATTACTTTTTCCCATTATCGATCATGTTTTTGGGTAAACCCATCATTGAGTTGGAAAGTTCAGAATTACGTTTTCCTTGTCCCCCGGATAAGCGGTAATGCAACATCGGCGAATCCTCTGATTGCTGCTGTAGGTAGTCATTTTTTCGCATTAGGTACGTTAACCAGCTAGCCAATTGATGTGCGCCAGGGGTCATAGACTGCTAACGTTATTAATTGTATAAAACATTTGGTCATTAATTAGATACCTATACCTCCTTATCAAATTTGTCTTCGTCGATAGATGCGGGGTATGCCGAAATTAGGGTTGCATATACGGTGAGGATAATATACAAAGCCATAACACAGCATAATACGTGTTGAACGTACTGCGCACTAAAACAGACGAATTGTAAAACAACTTCTCTACAAGCGAATTTGAAACAACCTCATTGCGTTGATCGCTAAATACTGTAAACTGATCGAGTCTGTCTCAGATTTTTCTTTAAATACAGATGCAAGTGGGTGGTTACCACCCTTTGACGTAACTGTTTATGACATTTTTCCCTACCATTAAATAGCATTTAGGTGCAGGTGTTATTATTACTTAATACAAATTTTGGTATTATGTAATCGTAAATTTAAGAAACTAAAATAGAATTTTTCACGATAATTATTAAAACGTCTAATTAATAGTGTTCATTAACGAAAGAAATTTATATCATCGAGTATTTACTTCCCTGCAAAAATTATTTATTCAAGCGTTTTGGATATGCCTTCAGACGCACACTTATTTTTTAAGAATAGATGGTATAATGTGTCACTCTCAGTCAGTAAAGTTTAACAATATAATTTGATTTACTAGACGGCATTTTGAGTATACGTACAGGGTGTACCTATATCTACTACAGGCCAACCTCTTATAGTTCTTTTGGTTGTCTAGAAAAGGCCATTGATATTCATTTTATTTATAACCGGATATCACAGAGAATTTCATAAGATATAATAATAAAATGAATTAATTCACGGTTGTACACATACGGGGTGGTAGTTTGAAAACTTATCACCCCCCATGTCTTAGTAAATAAACGAGATATTTTAAAAAATCAAAATCCGTCTCGGTAGTTCGATGGGGGAATCGCAATGACATAGTTGGCGACGCACCCTCTCCAACACCATGCGCCCCAGCAACCCCAACTTTTAAATCTTAAATAGTGACCCCTCATGTGTGATACGTCGTTGGAAAGCTCTGAAATGCGGGAATGCTTTCCAACCATACCAAATAACATACATTTAGGTTATTAATTATCGTGCAAATCAAAAAATAAACTAATATGATACGTTTGAAATGTGTCGTATTTAAAACGCAACTGGCGAACATAGACGAACTAAGACAGAGAATAATTCAAGAATTTCGAAATACCTATTGCAAAACCAACATTTGAAAAGGTTCGACAAAAGTTTGAGAATAGATTATACTACTGTCTTACCAATAACGGAAACCATTTTGAACATTTCTTGAAATGAAAGCTTTAGAAAATATATCATAAGGTATTAGTTTATTTTTTGATTTGCAAGATAATTAATAACCTAAATGTAATGCTATTTGGTATGGCTGGAAAGCATTTTACTGTTTACTGTTTACCTTCACTATTAGACTGGTTCACTTTTATAAAAAACAGCGTTTTAACAGGTTCTAGGGGCATTTCAGACAACATTTGACCAAATAGGCGTTTTTTACTAATTTGGACCTGCTGAACACGAATATCGATGTTGGCACCTCGAAATCTGAACAGGAAGTCCAGAATTCAAGATGGCGGCCAATTTCCGAAAATGTTGATATTTTCACTCATGCGACCGATTTTTTCGATCTAAAAACGGATTATAATGTTATTCCTGACGGAGGTATGGCACGATAATAATAGTGAACAAATGTTTAAACAATGATTTCATAGTTTTTCTAAGTTTACTGACGGAAAGTACTTTCTGCCAGTAAACTTGCCAAATGTAAATTAGGCTTAACGTCAAAGTGCGTAAAAGTGGATTCCTTTTTTTCATAGTACTATGGCTACTATTTAAATTTCTTCACATCGTGTAATTATTAAATTATTTCTGTGTTGGCAAGCATTTTGATTCCTGTGCGTCGTGTGAAAGATATCCGCGATGGTCCATGACCTCATATGGAAGAATTTCCTTTTATTAGAGGAAAACAAAAGAAATCTTGTCGCATCACCTTGAAGAGGCCTCATTTGACGGCGTACTGGTGATTGCGAGAGGCTTCAATGATGAAAGAAAAGTTTTCTGTAACCGTCGGACGACACAGATTTCCTCCTTAGAAGGTTTTCACATCTAGGAAGCGGATATACTAGAAAAACGCTACAGATACAGATGCATTCCTGTTGCTTCTTCATCACTTCGAGGTTTCAGGAGCTGCGAAGCTTTAGATCTAACAATTCTGAACTCCATTCTCTTGCGATTCTATCTAATCTTCTCTAGCATTTCATCCATTTCCATCATTACGGCATATCAGGTGTAAATCTCAAGATGTACTTTTTTTATATTATAAACTATGAAATGTCGCTCAGACTCCCTGTCTATCCTGAATTGAAAATAGCTACATTCCCATTCTCCCAACGTTAGATTAATTCCGAAGGCTGCTCTAGATATCGTCCTTTGTCGTAAATAGGATTGCTCGTCAAAACTTTGTAAAAATATCGCAAAGCTCAATTGATTTGTACTACCTAATTGTCAAGAAGACGATTGACCTAACACCATGAGAATAACAAAGGTGTTAATAAATTTGTATTCACTTTTCTATATGCTTTCATCCTTTAATAATAATAATATATCCCGAGGAACGGTAATTAATACCTAGCAAAATAAGAATCTGCCAAACACCGCAGTATAGTTGAACTCCCTTCATTTAAAAATTAACGTAAAATTCGAAAGATTGTAGTTATCAAAACTTTATAAGGAGAATTATGCAATATAAACGCATGTCGGGAATACTTATATGTGTCAGGATTACTGGAAACAATCGTTTTGCAAGTCCTCCTTTTATAGCAAGGGGAACTGGGAATTTCGTAATTCTTAATTTTACGCATCCTGCATCCTCCTATTACATTATTGTTAAAACAATAGTTAACTATTATTATAGTGAAGCACCTCAGGAATAACATTATAAGTAATCTGTTTTTAGATCGAAGAAATGGGTCGTTTCTAAGGAGGAAATCTGTGTCGTCTGACGGTTACAGAAAACGTTTCTTTAATCATTGAAGCCTCCAGCAATCACACGACGCACATAGTAACTAAAATGCTTGCCAAAACAGAAATAATTTAATACTTACACGTTGTGAAGAAATTTAAACAGTAGCCATAGTATACCTACTATGAAAAAAAGGTTTCCACTTTTACGCACTTTCAGGTTAGAAAAACTATGAAATCATTGTTTAAACATTTGGTCACGATTATTATCGATCCGTACCTCCGTCAGGAATAACATTATAATCCGTTTTTAGATCGAAAAAATCAGTCGCATGAGTGAAAATATCAACATTTTCGGAAATTGGCCGCCATCTTGAATTCTGTTCAGATTTCGAGGTGCCAACATCAACAGCAGGTACCAATTAGTAAAAAAAGCCTATTTGGCCAAATGTTGTCTGAAATGCCCCTAGGACAGAGAATCTTCGAAAAGTGAACCAGTCTATATACTATTTGACGATATGCAGCAGTTTAAATTTGTGAATGAGTAACAGTTACCAAAATGCGCTTTTCACTGTTTCATCTTATTTGGTATCATACCATAAATATCGTTCCATTTAAAATTTTCAGGTTTTAATGCCAAATCGCACGCTCTACCACTCATCACATTTACTGACTCCATTCATGTAAAATCGAATTACACGAAGAAGGCCTTTTCCAATAAGACCAATTTCATTCAATTCGTTAATTCAACGGTCCCCTTCCCCTATCCCTCATATTTTATGAGCTGCTATAGAGCAATATGTTCTGCATCAAAAGAACGTTTGCAGAGATTTAATAAGCTGTCCTATGATGCTACAGGGTGTTCCATATAAGTCGCATTTTTGTTATCTGAAAAGTGGTCTGTTGTTTTGTTTTTAGCGCATTTTTGAAAAAAAATACGCTATTATATTCGTTATGGCTGGCCGGCCGGCTGTCCGCGTTAGATCTCATCAACTACAATAGCTAGAGAAATTTTCACTAAAAGCTTTCTGCTATAGTGTAGATGTGCAGGCTGAGGCTCTAGTCTATTTTGAGTTAGATTACTTGTGAGATTGATAATATAAGAAAATAATTTCGATATGGTTTTCGCAGGTGCTATAATTTTACCGTTAGATAGCGCTACCAGTATAAAAACTTAGTTATTTACTTTGTGATTTGTTTTACAAAAGAAAAACCCTCAATTGAAATTAAATAAAACGCAGCCAACATTACTCGTGAGATCGATAATTCTAAACTTCGCTAATAAAATACTAATCTGTATTACCAAAAATGCGCTTTAATCATGCATAATATGCTGATTTACAACTTGTTTCTTAGATTCAGTAGACAAAAATACACAATTTGGGTAATTTTAAAACTTTCTAACTGTACAATTAGCAATAGTGCCGACTTAATTTGAAACAGACGGTATTTACTGTGGTCCAACTAAATTCATATAGTTTAAGCGCATATCATCCATCCACAGCCCTATTTACTTAGGATATCAGATCATTCATATTTTAACAATTGCTCTTGCAAATGCTGTGTCTATGGATTCCTTTTAAGTTTACACAATAACGAAAGAAAAAAACAAAATCAGTTAATTATTCTTTGTCGACTCCTTTTGCGTAAGCTTCATCTGGCTGGCATAAAAGTGTGAATTTGGGATGCTTGATTGATGTAGGTAGATGCCTAATGTACCTATGTAAAAAAATTTCCCATATTTTTTAATTTAGTCATTTATTCCACACATTTTAAAATGCTGCCATCTCGTGTTTCGGTGTGGCATCTTTAAAAAATGGTTAATGGGGGCAATTAACACATTATCTAGCATTAATCCAATCAAGATGTACATCCGTGCTTGCAAAAGGTCCGGTCGTTCTGAATGTTTTATATGTTGTTAGTACCTAAACCAACAATAAAAAGCCAGATTTGCAATTTCCAAAGTTCTGTGCGATCGGCGGTATATCCAAAAAACCATGAAATTTTCGGACTGTTTTCAGTTTTTTCTCAATATCTCGGTGAAGGAAGGGTCTGATCGGTATGACGGTATAGTCATTCTTTTAAAGTGAACGAAATTTGCTACAATTTGAGACTAGAGCAAAGTCTATACGGCCAGTGGTTCCCAAGATACAGTTCTTCGGATAGGATTTTTTTTATGTTTTTTCAAAATGGCCACTTTTTTTCAAAATATCTTCTAAAATACGAATCCCACGTCAAATATTATATGAAATTAAGTTGTAGCAAATTTCATTCCCTTTCATTTTAGACCAGACTGGTGACTGTAGACCCAGCCGTTTTCTCAAAAACGGCAGATAACACAAAAGTCATATGTGGGTTTTGAGGGGAAATACAAATAAACAGTTCTCACGTCCTTTTATATGGTTTTATTTATTGAGCAATTTATTTATTTTTTTATTGCATTTTTCACAGAAGGGCAGGAGGTGCCGGATCCATGGGACTGGGAATGGGGGTGAGTCCCTGAGAAGACAGGTTCCACCCCTAATCAGTGGGATTTAAGTTGCCTCCCCGCCACTTCTGCACTTCTGCATGATATAGAGCCACAAAACACTTGATGCCTGCTTCTCTCACGGCTTGTGGGGTGGAGCTGGGCGAAGGAAGAGCTCCACTTGATCAGCAAGTAGTTCGCTCTTGCTCGGGAGTGTGCTGATTTTGGTCTTTCTTTGGCCAAACGGTGCTGACGTGGTATCGCAGCCGGTAAACGCGTGGGTGGTGATCGGTAGGAGTCCTGGTGCTTGCTGGAGGTCGTAGAGGGGTAAGAGCAACCACCTTACGCTCTCGTGTTCTTCTGAAGGTAGACGTTTGCCATTAAAAAAAATGTTTTTTTTTTTAATAAATTCATATTTGCGAAGAACTGTATCATGGGAACCAATCGCTGTATAGACCTCGCTCTAGTAAAATTGTAGCAAATTTAGTCTACTTTAAAAGATTATAGAATGACTATACCGATCAGACCCTTCCTTCACCGAGATATTGTGCAAAAACTGAAAAAAGTCCGAAAATTTCATGGTTTTTTGGATATACCGCCGATCGCACAGCACTTTGGAAATTGCAAATCTGGTTTTTTATTGTATGGTTTACAGGTTTAGGTCCTAACAAAATATAAAAAAATCAGAACGACCGCGGATCTTTTGCAAGCACAACCCCCTTTTCATGTTTAAATTTACAGGACTACATGGCCCTGAACATCACCTTCCGTACTAACCTTAGGTGGAACAAGCGAACAACAATAAATGAATATACACGGGCATAAACCTTCTTTGTGCTTTGGGGTCCAGGAGTTTATTGAGAATGAGAATGGAAATATATTGGCACTATAAACCTAGTAATATCGACAGTGGTACCAGTTCCAATGTCAACAACTTATTCAATACCGGTTCCGTTTTTGACGTTTTTTAGCTTCCTAGCTTGAGCTAGGTGGCTATTGCGATCACCGTTTTTTGAACATGTTAAAATTTCATCAAATGTCGGTTTTAGATCATTTTAGGCACCTTTTAAAGAATAACATTTTTTTTCCGTCTGTATGTATGTGCGTACGTTGGCAATTTTCGGAGGTAACGGCTCGACGGATTTTGTTCAAATTTTGGATATGCATATTAGACCTACTGAAACGAAAAATAACGATCCGGATTTTTGAAAAAAAATGATGGAGCACCACTACGGCATTGAACTTTTTTTCAAATAGCAACCTAAAAGTCACACGAAAGACCTTATTTTTCTGTTAGTGCAGCGGACAGATCCGCGAAATCGTTGAAATTTGTTTCGGAGTAGAAAAAATTGGGACCCACACCATTTTGTTCAGAAATATTTGAACCTTCAGAATCTCGCTTTACGACAAAAGGAATTATTGATGTATATCGCTTAGTTGCTGAGAAAATAAATACTTTCGGAGGTCAAGTCGCGCGCGCGAAAATGAGTCAAGTTCAACTTTAGCGGCTTATAACTTTTGTCAGGACCACGGGAAAATGTCGTAAAGCGAGATTCTGAAGGTTCAAACATTTCTTAACAGAATGGTTTGGATTCCAATTCTTTCTACTGTGAAAAAAAAACTGGCTCAAATAAGCGAGATAGGGCCGGTTCTCCGCTGCCCTATAAAATTGTGTCAGGTTTTATTACGAAAAAACTGAGAAAAAAAATGTCAAGTTAAAATTTTTCTCGCCAAGATTAAATTAATTCTAATTAGGAATTACAATTATTAATTATATGTTTCCTTGTGACATGAAATAAAAGCTAAAATCAATAGACAAACATGAACAAAATTTAAAAAAAAGAGATACAACGGCACGCGGTCACACATCTGAGTACAACCGCGCCCTAGATTGGTGAACTTCGGTGATCGGACGAGAACTGGTGTTTCCAACGTGCTATGGCTGTTGAAAAAGTTACTCTTCTAAGGGAAACAATGTAGAATCTTTTTTTTACAAAAAGAGCACACAAAAAAGATGCAAAAAGAACCTATTATCGCGATCTAATTAGAATTATTAATTTAAGGGGTAAACCTTGTTTTTTTTTCTAAGTATAACATAGAATTGAATAAACAAAAATAAATATGGTTTAGGTGGTAAGTTATATACGATAGTTTTGATGCAAGCATTTTTGCATAGAATATATTGTGTTAGTTTCTGGAATGATTTATGGGGGTTTAACTGAATATACCAGATGAATTGGAGTGTAGCTGTAATATCTTTTGGATTACCAATTCCGGTAAAGTGTAGGGCAACTTGCAACTTATTTTTTCAAATAGAAACCGTGAATATTCTTATCTACATCTGACAATAATAAACTTTTGTGGGAAACATTTTTGTCTAAACTTATTACTTTTGAAGACACTCTTCTAAAAGCGCTATTTTCAGATTGAGCTAGGAAGCTATTTTGTCAAGAATTTGGCAACTGGTTTTTTATTCTCGTTCCAACCCCTGCCAGAAATAGACAAAGTCCTGGAAAAATTTTATTAGAGCCTAAAACATTGTTTAAACGAGTTATTTAATACATTTAAAGTTCATATTTTCGGTAGATATCTAAACCTACCACATCTCTAAGATGTAATACTGCAATAAACATTATCACCAATCTTACCAATTTCTAATCCCTTGCACAGATCGAGAGTGGTAACAAAAGAATGAAGGTTACCTATGCAAATGTCGATATTATGTCAAAATTTCAATCTATTTTGGAGACAGAAATGTACATTAATAAAAAAGAAAAATAATAACGCACAATATGTTTCACATAATTAAAATTTCAGACTAAACCCGCCTCCCATTCTTCTATTTTCCGATACATTCATGCCAATACGAAAACCCAAACCGTCTTCATCTCCGTCGCCTCCCTGAATTAAAAAAAAAAACGTTAGCACTATAAGAGATTACAATAAATTCAGCCATACTAATTGTTTGTACTCTCCGCCACCAGATGGCGGCTTCGGACTTGCGGCTAAGGCTCTCCGATGTCCCAGTTCACTCTTTGCGGGCCACGTCGGGAACATGGAGGGATCAATTGGCAGGGGCGTTTCGGTGAAATATGGATGTTGAAGTGCATCATCGGCAGTGGTTCGTTGCACCGGATCAAAAGTTAAAAATTTCTGAAGCATCGCTTGACCTTGCTCTGTTAACATGGAAAATCGAGATCTTAAATTGGATACCGGATATTCTGTAAATTTCATTTTTTGAACAGCAGGTAGTTTATTAAAACCTGGCCAAATTTTTTCGTTAGGAGTACCAAGATCCTAAAATGGTGGTTTTTACGTGGCTACATAGATGGAGTATACTTACTTTGAAAACTCTGTTTAATTGGTCCACTTCTGACTTCCCAGGAAATACTGGGTTCATAAGTAAAAGTTCTCCAAAGATACATCCAACAGACCACATATCGATCGGTGTGGAGTATTCTTTGGTGCATAGAAGTAGCTCGGGGGCACGATACCATAATGTTACGACTATTGGTGTATAAGCTTTAAGTGGCGATCCATATTCTCTTGCCAACCCAAAATCTCCGACTTTCAGAATCCCTTTGTGAGACAGTAGTAAGTTGGACGTTTTTAGATCACGGTGCAAGATCCAATTGTCATGGAGATGGGCTACTGCACAAAGTAACTGGCGAAGTAAACATTTAACTTCGCCGGCTGTGAAGGTTTGTTTTTTGTGTCGCATGGTTTCCATTAAAGACTTCAAGTCATGCTCCACATAATCCATTACGATAAAAATTTTATCCATGTTACTACCAACAACAATTTCACGAACCGTGACAATATTAGGATGTTGTCCCTTTAGCAAGGTATTAATTTCGCGTAAGGATGTTATAGGAAATCCCTCCTTCTCTTTTTCCATTTTTAAACGTTTCAACGCAACGATTTCCTCCGTCCTTTTATCTCTTGCTCGATATACCACGCCATATGTACCTTCTTCAATACGATTTAGGCACTGAAATTCCTCCACCGATCGACATCCCTGAATCGCAGGAAAGTAGGGAGGTAGATTTTCGTTTATTTCTATAGTCCTAATGTCTTCTTGAGAAGCTTTTTCTTCATTTTTATCGTTTGTTTTCGCGCATAAGTTCCCATTACTTTTGGGCGACTTGGATTTGGAACGTTCAATACTACGACTCCGACTGCGAGACCGCTCGTCAGACTCCGGTGTGATTTCTCTTGAGGATGTTCTGCTTCGGCTGCGACTTTTCCTTTCCGATTGTTCTACGCTATGCACCGATTCGTTACTACTCTCAATTACGCTATGATCACTATGATAACTTTTATCGTCGTCATCGTCCACATCGTTATTAAGCTCGGTATCTGAGTTATCGGATACGGTTACCACATTATTGTCGTCTACTTGTAGTCGTTTACTAAAATGTTCTTCTTCTTCTTCTAGCTTCCGCTTCGCTTGTTTTTCTAAGTGGCGACGTTCCCGTTCAATACGCGACTGCTCCTTCAGTCTAGCCATTTCCCGTTCTGAAAAGAGGAAGCGATGGACTTTCAAAGCATTTAGACCAGTTTGTGATATAATAAGATATTGTTCCTAGTAACAGAGCTCATGATTATTTAATTTTGTTGTAATTACTTTCTCAATGAAACACCCTGTATATAATCTACGCCAGGAACCGACAGCTTATTTTTAATACAGAACAAATCATATTCTAGGGTTAATTACCATTGATTTCATCGATAAATCCAGTAACAAATGGAACACTCATTTTTAGTGCATTTTTTAAGCATTCAAAAAATTTGCTACTGTTTGCGTTTTGTCCTAGGTTTTGTCTGTCTGCTGGTCCATCTGCCTGGACCCACTTCTGCTGTTTTGGAACTACTTTTAAAAGAATTGTCCTAGAGGCTTGGAATTTTTTGCAATAGGTAGCCTATACCTTGAAGGTCTGCCCGACGGCCTTCAACTTTTGTTGTCCTAAAGGGAGGGGGACGACCCCAATAGTTATTTCCCGAGGTGCTGTTTTTGAAAGTCATAAATAAAGCAGACGATGTATGACCTAAATTTGACAGTATCTATTGATTTAAAAGTACAATTCAGGTAACGTATCGATTTTGATCTTGATATTTAAAATGTGCGCTTTACCCGAGCACAAAGTGCCCAATTTTTCTTGTCATAAATTTACCCAAATTAAGTTTTGGATATACCAATTCCATATAATTATATCATATCGTAAAATAATAATAGAATAATAATACATAACAGGTAAGGAAAAAAGGTATATTTATACAACGAGTTTATAACCTAAGGAGCAACTACAAATCTACGAGTCAGGAAGTATAGATCAACAAACAGTTGCGTACCGACGTGGAGGTAACATTTTCAACCGTATACATACTTAGTGAAACATCACATCGGGTCTCATTTTGACTGCGCCTAATAATAAACTTTATTACTAATAAAATATTGATCATAAAAAAGCGTGCTACCAAATAAAAGCCCAAATTAGTGGGTTTTTTTTTGTGTAGGAGATCCTCCCTCAAAATTTGGTTACTTCTTTGAGTGTATCCCATGAACCATATCAAATACCAAGATGAAGCCTGTTGGATTGGAAACATTCCCAAAATTCCTACTCCTAACTCTAAAAGGAGATTGATCACTACGAAATTTGCCAAGTATAGCAGTTTTTTTAATTTTCAAAAACTAGGTTAAGATACAGTATTTTCTTAAAAAAAAAAGATACCCAGATGCGGAATAGGAATTTTTTTGAGGCCCTCTGCAAAATCAAAAAAACCTAGAGAAGTCCGTTAATTCCATCCTCCTGTGTATTATGGTTGCTAATAAAAAAATTTTAAAAAGCAAAGAGACTTTTTGGGGCATATAATTAGTACCAATTTTTAAAGATATTTAATATTTTTCTTCATTTGGTGGAGGGGAAGGGGGGAGGAATTTAATAGACATCACCTAAATATACCTCAATACACAATAGACACAAAAACAGATTTTGTACAGGATGTTTCAAACTGACTACCAAAAAAATCCAAAAAATAACTAAATACCATCCTGTATATAAAAACCAGTTTTGCATATAACACTCACCCGCTTCTAAAAGTTTCTCCCTTCTTAATTCTTGCTCCGCCTTCTCCTCCTCCGTTAATTTCTCGTCATCCTTTGGTTTGTCCTGCTTTTTGCGTTTCTCCTCACCTGTGCTAATATTTATAATTTCCTTCACGTACATCCCCGCCTCGCCTTGCAAAACTGAATCTAACGTTTCATTATCTTTGTTCTTACGATCTCTGTGTCCCTCCTTGCGATCGACTTTAACCGTTTCGTCGTCGCCTTTACCGGTAGAACGTTTACTTAAAAGTCGCTCTCTTAAGTCCTCCAGGGCTTTGTCGCCGGCAGATTTTTCCCATTTCTCATCGGGATATTTCTCCTTTCTGTGTTTTTCCAAATAGCGTACCTCTCGAATGTCTCGCACCTCTCTGTCTTTCTTGCGCGACTCTACATGCCTGCTACTTCGCGGTACCTCTTCTTTATGCTCTCTGTACACTCTTTCGTTAATATACTGAACTTCCGTGTAGGTTTCTTTAAATCCAATTTGCTCCCTATAATACCTTTCTTTATCCCTGTGATACAGTTCCCTTTCTTTAGCTGGCCTTAGCTGTTTCTCTCGATGGTGTTTTTCTCTATGCGAATAAACCCTTTCCTCTCGATGTCGTTCAGATCTTTTATGTCGCGATTTACCATCGTAACCATCACGTCTCTTAGTTCGATTGCTAACGGGAACTACTCTGGCCTGTGGTGGTTTTATGTCTAGTGAATCGGCTGCCTCACCATCTTCATCGTCATCTGATAAACTAGAAGAAAACTGGATAAAATAAACGGGATACCTAAGATTCTAACCTAAAATCCAACGCTTCTCCTTTTTGTCGTGCATCCGAGGGACTGTGCCTTAATTCACCATCCTCACTTTGATCATCACCTGATTCAACAAATGACATTATAGATCAACTGGTTGTACTTAAAATTAAAAACTTATAAATTGTAAAAATTTACATTATTTTTTTTCACTATTTGGAATGACATAGGATGTGATGTGATTCGTGATTGGTGGAATGAAATATACCCAAGAATGCTATACAGGATGTTTCAAAAAAAAGGTCCGATATTTTATCCATGTGACGCCGATGTGTATGTACCACTGTACCTTCCGTTTCATATTATGTTAATCCTAATACCAAAGAATAACTTTACTCATATTTGCTTGGATGTTGTAAGTACTTAGATAAGTTAAATTAGAAACACTTGTCATTCATCGTCTCGTCTACAAATCTACGTTTACAAAGTCCCCTTCTCAAAATGTCGTGAGCTCGTCACGTGACCCATTTCTTCCTGTGTTTCTGGTTTTCTTGCTCTTCACCATCCATGAAAGTTGCAACTAATCAGATTTTGAAATATTTTTTTATACCACTGGCTAAAAGGAGCGCTATACATAGTTGAGTGTAAAATTGTTATTGCAGTCCAATACTGCTAATATGGACAGAAGTGATGTCATACCACTCATTAAAATCGAACCAAAACAAGAAGAAGAAATCCATTCTGATCTTCAAGGCAACATTTTAGTAAGCAACGAAGCATTGGTTGCAATAAAAGACGAAATTACAATTACTGCACAGTGCTCCAAATCGCTGGATAATGAAGATATACAACAAACTGATTGTGGATGGAACATTAAAACTACACTATGCATCGGCGTCCAGAGCATTTTTGTTGCAATATATACACAGTTTAACTGCAATAACGTTTACAACTTAGCAAATTTAAACATTCAATTCTAACAGCCAGGTGCGTTGGTAACGTCACATTACAAGGGGGATATGACTTAACGCGGACAACATTACGAGTATCAGGAGCAGGCAATCCTATATATATTATACAATACAGCATTCTTGGCGCATACCTACCCACCCATAATAACGCTTATCTCCGGTCTAGGATAGGAAGCAGCTATAAATATAAATGCCCGATTCGCAGTAAAACTGTTGAATAAACAGCGACCGAAATTATCCCTAGGGCTGTAGTGACTTAATTGCGATTGTGCGTAATTTTGAATTTGAATTTTATACTGAGGTGTAATGCGGGTTGCACGATCTACTTTTCTTTCACATTTGAATAGAGATTTCTTTAATATGCTTTTGTATTATTATCATTGAATTGATAGTTATAAATTCAATGTTATTATTTGATAGCAGGTACTTGTTCCTTTTTCTTTATGCTCTACAATATGGATAATCATACTTTTAAATACAATTGATGACAAACAGAATCTGTAACATATTTGTAGCGAGTATTATCATTGAATAAGTAATAATCAATGGTATAATCGTGAAGTTTAAAGCGACATCGGGGTCCCATCAGGTCGCCATTCTATCGATAAAGGATTAATCACAGATAAGGATAAGGAATGAAGGTGAATGTGACGATTTCTTTCTGGGAAATATGATCTCTTTTTTTTCTCTCGAACATTTTTCTTTTCAATATAAGTAGATTGCATTGTATTTGGTTTGGCATTGTTGCCGAAGTGATAATAGTGAAATTCGCCTTTATGTTATAATTTACATGTTATTACAAAAGAGTGATAAATGATAATTAACATATAATATACCTAATAATTAATTCATATGGTTAATTGTAAATACGAGTAAATAATGTAATTAAATTTACTTTACAATATTGAATAATCCTGTACTATACCGGTACTTGAGCTGCAGCCAGAGTTTTATCTATTGTACGCTAGTCGCAACGTTTGTACCTTATTTTTATCGTAATTCGTAGGTAGGTTTGTTTTGTACCTTTTAAAGAAGAAAAGTAGTCTAAAGTTTGTACTCTCCTATTCTATAGAGGCTGAATTGGTTTGGTAAGCTCAGTTTATCTTTATTTCTTACTGTAAGCTGGTAAGAAATACGATTTGTTTAAGTTTAATAGAAAACTTGTAATCGTAACACATTTCTTGATAACGTTATTGATGCTAATATGGACAGAAGTGATGTCATACCACTCATTAAAATCGAACCAAAACATGAAGAAGAAATCCATTCTGATCTTCAAGCCAACATTTTAGTAAGCAACGAAGCATTGGTTGCAATAAAAGACGAAATTACAATTACTGCACAGTGCTCCAAATCGCTGGATAATGAAGATATACAACAAACTGATTGTGGATGGAACATTAAAACTCATATATTCAACAATTTTGAATCTGACTTCGATCAACACACAACAAATAGTAAGCTGCAAGTTAACCAACATTTTTTAAAGCAAAATGTGTCGGAAGGATTTATCTGTGCTCATTGTGATTATGGAACAAATAGTAAACGATGTTTGAAGAGACACATTTTAAATCATTCAGATTCCAAAAAATTTAAATGTGCTAAGTGTGCTTATGAGACAAATAACAAATATCACTTTAAAAGACACCTTTTAAAACATACCGATTTTAAAGATTTCAAATGTGCTCATTGTGATTATGAAACAAATAATAAACAATGTTTGAAAAGACACATTTTAAATCATACCCATTCTAAAGAATTTAAATGTGCTAATTGTGGTTACGAAACTAATAACAAATACTACTTCAAACAACACCTTTTAAAACATACTGATTCTGAAGATTTCAAATGTTCTTATTGTAATTACCAGACAAATAAGAAATACTACTTTAAACTACACCTTTTAAAACATAGTGATTCTGTAGATTTTAAATGTGCTCATTGCGATTACGAGACAAACAAAAAATTCCGCTTCAAACGACATCTTTTAAAACATACAGATTCTAAAAATTTTAAATGTGCTCATTGTGATTACGGAACAAGTAGTAAACAATGTATTAAAAGACACATTTTAAATCATACCGACTCCAAAGAATTTAAATGTGTTCATTGTGATTATGGAACAAATAATAAACAATATTTTAAAAGACACATTTTAAAACATATCGATTCAAAACAATTTAAATGTACTTATTGTGATTATGAGACAAATAACAAATACTACTTTAAACAACACCTTTTAAAACATACAAATTCTAAACACTTTAAATGTGCCCATTGTGATTATGGATCAAATAATAAACGATATTTTAAAAGACACATTTTAAATCATTCCGATTCAAAACAGTTTAAATGCACTAATTGTGATTACGAGACTAATAAGAAATACTATTTTAAACAACACCTTTTAAAACATACTGATTCTAAAGATTTTAAATGTACTCATTGTGATTATGGAACAAATAATAAAGAATATTTTAAAAGGCACATTTTAAATCATACCGATTCTAAAGATTTTAAATGTGCTAATTGTGATTACGAGACAAGTAACAAATGCATCTTTAAACAACATCTTTTAAAGCATAAAGTTTCTAAAGATTTTAAATGTACTCATTGTGATTACAAGACAAATTACAAATACTACTTTAAAAAACACCTTTTAAACCACACTGATTCTAAAGAATTTAAATGTGCTCATTGCGATTATGAGACAAATAACAAATACTACTTTAAACAACATATTTTAAATCATACCGATTCTAAAGAATTTAAATGTTCCAATTGTGATTATGGGACAAATAACAAATACCACTTTAAACGACACCTTTTAAAACACTGATTCTAAAGAATGCAAATGTGCTCATTGTAATTAAGGAACAAAATAATCATAAACAATGTCTTAAAAGGCACATTTTAACACACAACCTTTCATTGTAATGTAGTTGTGATTACGAGACAAATAACAAATGTCACTTTAAACAACACCTTTTAAAATGTACTCATTGGGATTATTTTAAAACACAAACCATTTTCCCAAGGAACACATTTCTTGTTTAAATATTAATTCTCGATTGTGTGGCCTTATGAAAGGCAGGTCCATGTGTCGTAACAGATTTAAAATGTTGGCTATACTTTTGTGCATGTTGACACATTTAAGTATCGATTATCTCAGCGCAAGATATAAAGATAGAGATGCTGTAGGGCAGTTCAAGGGTTGTCAATATCTGTTGCAAATGAGAGCGACGGCAACTGTGTAGGGGGATAAGTGTATGAGTGGCAACGTTGCATCTTGTAATAATAAGTAGGTATATCAAAAATATGGTGTATTCTGTTTGATATATTTTTTCATGATACAATTTATTGTCTCATGGTTTTTTTGTAATAAATAGTTAATTATTATTTACCGTATCTAACAGTCTGTTATCGCACTCCAATTAATGGCTTCCCATTCCCAGTATGTGTTTTTAACAATTTTTACCATTTTGTACATACTATAAATATACATTTTCCATAAAACGCAACAGCATTTTATTTGGCGTCATCCGCTAAAGAATGTTTTAGAGTTTTAATTCCCAAAGGCTAGGTATTGGTACGTAGGGGTGGTTCCTATTTTGTAGAACGTTGAATTTTATCCATTTCCACCTCTAAAATTAATTTGATTACATTTTCACAAGTCCTTGTGCAATGTAAAACAGCTTACGCACCACACTCATTTTTGCAATACTTTGATTTCTTTCAAAGGTGGAAGTCGATAAACTTCCAAGATTTCCAATATAAGATCCACCCTCATATACATATACCTACCCATATAAATCCAAAAATATACTGCAAAAACTAAATTTTTTACCCCTTTTATTAGCATTGTAACCTATGAGCAATTTTAAATGTGAATTCTGGATGACGTTTTCCCGCCTTCAAAATGTAAGCATTGTATTGGTTTAGAGTTACCAGACAACCTTTCTAATAAAACAACCTTGGTAAGTACCCTTGACGTTCAGAGGTTTTTCGCAAAGGGGACGTACCTACTTGATTGTTTTATAATTTTTTGGAGTGCTTTGAAATGGGGAAGATGTACAATTTTGCTGCTAAAAACCGTCGCCGATGATTTTTACATACCGTAAAGCTTATATGAACGTCCTAAAAAGACAAATTCGGCAGTTTATTGCGTTAATTCCTTCTATTTACGCCAATTTTCGCCAAAATAAAATTGTTACCTTAACTTTGTTAATGAAGGACTCCATAAGTGTTTGAGTGCTTGCTTATTGGAAAAATGAACTGAATTGAGACGCAAACGGTGTTTTTAAAATTTCCTTTTTATTTATTTTTTATTTCTTATTTAACTGGTGGAATTTTCCGGAGAGAGTTTGAAACTTTGTTGATGAAGGACTCCATAAGTGTTTGAGTGATTGCTTACTGGAAATGAAGTGAATTGAGACTCAAACCGTTTTTATCATTTTTTGTTTTTTGTATTTTTTATTTCTTTATTTTTTCTTATTTGATTTGATTTGAAATAATAAAAACTGTTTGAGTCTCAATTCACTTCATTTTTCCAGTGTTACCTTATAACTTTTGTATTCTTGACATGGACTCGTCTGTCGGTTTGACGATTACTTCTAAAAAATTTCGATGCATTCTCATTTTGAGGAAATTACGCATATTTTCAGTACCAAAAGGCTTGTCCTATGTGCGGATCAAAATTTTTGAAAGTTTAATACATGAATGGTTCTCGACCTACGTCATATTTAATTATTAACCAAAAACGGGCTCCATTGTTGACGTCATTGGTGCATTTTTTTAAGGGAGGAGTAAGTATATATTTTATTCCGATGAGAAAACGAGTATTTTTGTTTTGAAGCAAGCATCAGTAGGTATCAACAGACTTTTCTCTCCTATTTAACGTATTTGTCAACATATTAACCGGATGAAAAGCTTAGATACGTATAGAAGTGCTTTGCAAAGTAAACGTTTGATAACGAAAAGTCAAAAGAATTTCACCGACATTGCAAGATCGCATATTCGAAGTTACGACACTGTATTGATCACAATTGCCGTATCCCTGGGTATTGATTTAAACTGGCCGCTACTGTATCACGGAGAAGTGTTGGATGTGGCTACTCCACAGTCCAAGTGAAAAGTGATACTCCCATTCAGTGGTACCAAACCAATCATCCATATTTATACATTGTATAAAAGGGCACCGCTCAAATGCCATACAATACTAGTTCATTAGTAATTAGTAGACCAATAGCTCGTACTGTTATCCTTTAACAACATATTAACATGATTACGCATTAATATATCGCATCTGCGGACAGCAATGCTCCAATTTCCAACCTCAAATCTTTTCCAATGAGGACAAAAAATTTTCTAATATTCCTCTGTAGCATAGTTACCGTCAGCCTTTTGCTAATAATCTTCGGACAACAAAAACCTTCAAGTATTCAAGATATTGTTACAAGCACGCATCAGCAACTACGAAACTTCAAGGTAAGCATCCGGCATTTGTTCAGAAAACGGATCCGTAATTTGAATACTTTAGGATACGTTACGAGATGCAGAAACAAAGACTTTAGTCGCAGATGAAAAGTACCTTCAGATGTTAGGCTTTGTCGACAAACCTAGATTATATCCGACCGACGTCTGGCATAACACCTCGTTACCTGTCATTGTAACTTACGTACTAGAAGGTCAGGAAAGTCAAGCGATTGGTTTTGCAAATAACATTGGAAAGGTCCTGCCGAATAATACCATCCTTATTTACAATATCGGCCTTGGAAGCTATGGGTTGCGAATGGTACGTGTGCAATGTAGTGTTTTGTTTGCGTTTCAGTCTCAATTTTGCCTAGGCTCAATGAGTCATCACAAAGGCATTCACACGGCAATCTTTAATGTTCTGTAATTGAATGTTTAATGTACTCAGGTAAAATTATATTTTTATGCGGAGGACTACGGCTAATGGTCATTTTCATACGTAAATCGAGATGTATATAGCTAGGTAAATAGTATAGGCATGTCTAACTGTAGACTGTCTAATCTGTTTCTCTTCTTCGCTATTCTCTCCGATCTTCCGGGATTGTCAGAGTCAACTTTGTGATTATTTGTTGAGTCAAAATTTAGAATGACAATTTTCAATTTTGTGTTCGGATATAATTAATACTTTACCTAAGTATGGAGTTATGAAAGATGATCAACTTGTCTGAATTGGGAATGGTAGACAACTTCCTAATTTTTCTTTTGCACCATACTAGACCATATCTATCATTATTTTATGCATGCTACAATTCCTGCGATAATACAATTTTGACTGCTTTATTTAATAAATAGTCAAGGTGGCAATTTACTGCACAATAAAAGTGGGCCATAGATTTTACCTCGGATTTTACTATGTGAAAAAGGGGTTAACTTTCTAAGCCTCTTCAGTTGTTTGCACAAAAGCCTAACAGAACAAGGATCTAATACTGAATGCCTGGGGAACCCCTCTATATTATCTAGTAAGCTAGACATTTAACTAGTCGCTATCATAGGAGAACTTTTTTTAATGTTAGGAAAACAATGTTTAAAAATATGAACTTATCATATCATTTTTATTTGTAAATTGTATACACAACTATTTAAATATTTATTAAAAATAAAAAAAATATAAAATGCCTCCGCGATACGAAGTGGGTAAGTATTTAAAATGTAGCATGAAGTACCCAGACGAATTCACTGAAACTTATTGGTATACTTTTTAGAGAAGTAAAACTAGTAGAGATAGTATGAAATGGATTTGCGCATGTGCCGAACTAACTTCTTATTTATGAAGCAATTTTTATAAAATTTTGACCTTGTATCCTTCTGATTAAAGCAATTTGTCAAAACAAATGGAAATTATGGAGCGTCCACCCCTAGTAGAGTACGTTTGGGAGTTGAAACGTGGTAGCGACGAGTCCCACTGAGCCCAATACGCCTTCAAAACATCGAGATACCACTTCCCAGGTTGGCCGTGTAACGTTATTTTCTTACCAATTGATATTCCCGATTTACATTCCATTTGAGTAATCTTCGATTTGTGCTCTTATTTAAATTCTTGCTCTGATGTCTAGATATTTGATATTCTTACGCCATCTAGGTATTTTATGTGTAATCCACTAGCTTAAAAATGTAAGTTAGTTTGTAGTAGAGTTCTTTTACGTAGTTCTTTATTTTTTGCCGTTAGAGGTTTCTTATTTAGTTTTATGTTTCGCCGACGGAGATCGTGCAGATGATTCCCACGGTACTTCTAATTCTATCCCTTCTTTTTGTTTCTACTTACGCACTGCTTCTTCCTCTTCAGTGAACTTTCTGCTTTCGTGTTGCTTACATGCAAATTTTTCTTTGGTACGCGATTACTTTTGCCGACTTCGTGTTTTACCGTAAGGGATTATTATTCTGACTGTCACCATTTATCTTTGGAGTGGTTTCTCTTTCTTCTGTTGTCTGTGAGTGGATCCTTTTGAAGCGTTTTTACGGATTAGTATTTGCATTAAACAGTACGTGGTATGTTAGATAATTACGCAGCATTTTTCTTAACATGTTTTTAAGGCTTTACCTTCCCTCAAAGCTTTCTCAGTGTTTCTTTTTTGGATTAACTTGGTCTACTTGGACATTGCCTACGCAGTACGTCAATGGCATTGCATTTTTACTTGGTCCCTCCATCTGGTATTGGCGAGCGTAACGCGATAGATGAGTTTCTACATTACCGGCAGATTCCCCGCGATTTCAGTGAAAGCAAACATGTAATTCTATCAACATTCACCTGGTGAATCTACTTCATTCCGCAAGTATTAACGAAACCCCTTTGGAGATTAACGATCTTGTAAACTGCTCCGATATATATCAGATTATAGCTCCGTTGTTTTCTGCGGAAGCCTGTTTTGATATTAATACTTTCTTTTACTACATATTGATCCCCTTTTGACTAAAAATGAATTTAAATTTAAATGTTGACATTGCAGATCAATATACAGGGTGTTTCGAAATTCGCGCACAGAGACTGTGGGATGGTGTTATACAACGAAAACGAATAAAAAGTTCCAGTTTTTTATCAGACCGGCACTTTTTTTTTCGACGTGCTGAAGCTTGTTTACTAGCAGACGGCGGACATTTTGAACAACTGTTGTAATTACGTACTCGTTTAACCAGTGGCGCAGCGTAGGGGGGGCGGAGATTTTTTAAACCGCGGTAGCGCGAAAAATAGCCGTCTGATGGAAAACTGATAGAGGAACTTTTTGTTCAGTTTTTGTCGTATAACATCATCACGTAGTCCGTGTGCGCAAATTTCGAAACACCCTGTATTACAGTGTCCTATTTGTAAAGTTTTCGATCGCCCTCGATTGTGACATCAATTATTGTTTATGTTCTATGCTAATTCCTTATGAAAGCTTTCTACACGGGTCGTTTATAAATGTTTTTTGGTTGAAATAAATATCGATACAGAATCAAACTATAGTAATTTATTAATTAATCGCTCTGAAACAGGTAGAATAAACATGAGACAAACATTCCGTTTTTTATTGACACACAACTTTGTTAGTTTTAACTGATAAAAATAAAGATTAGGCATGTTGAGATCGCTTAATGGTAGGTACAGGTGACTCCGTGACGTATTGCGAAGCTAAGCATACCGGCTTCAATTTCGCGAAAAAAATAACGTTCTAAGTTACTATGCACCGAAATAAAATGCCCATGTTCCGCGAAATAAAATTTCTCGTAAAAAAATGGTACGCGATGGAAAAAATCAATGATGAAAAACGTACGTGATCGCTCGCAAATTAATCTTCTTCACTCTCCCACCTCTCTCGCTATTTTTAGCCCGTTAGAATTTCTGAAACGGGACCTATTTTCTGAACGCAACGACCTCGACTAGGGTACCTTTTTTTACCAATAGTACCAGAGACTTGCTATAAAATACGAGCCCTAACAACTAATTGTTGGGACAAGCCATTTAATGTTTCGATTAGAAATATTTAATAGGAGCGGCAACGCTTATTAAAATTATTAAACAAAAAAATGAAAGTTTTAATATTGAACTTTGTATTACATGCAACAAGAAAAGTAATACAATATACAAGTAGTTATAATAAAAAAAATGACAAAGGTCATGAACAATTGTTGACAACTATATGTTGGGACAAAACCAAGGATGTTTAGTTCAATACGGTGTTACATCTCCTTTCGCCTTTACAACCGCTGCTATTCTGGCAGGCATAGTTGCTGCTAATGTTTTACAAAACTCAGGTGTAAATTTAGTCCACATATCTGCCAGTTTTAACTTTAAATCTGGAACTGTTCTTTGAGGATTGTTTCGTAACTGCTGCTTCATCTTATGCCAAAGGGTTTCAATAATATTTAGGTCTGGACTACTAGAAGGCCATGACAAAACTGTGATCCCATTCTCAGAGAGCCATTTTTGGGTTGATTTGGCTGTATGACAAGAGGCTCCGTCTTGCTGGAAAACAAAATCTTCCTCGCCATACAGCTTCTCGATACTCGGAAGAAGCCTATTCTTTAATATGTTTTGGTATTTCTCTGCGTTTACAGTACCGTCGATAACCTCAAAGTATCCCAAACCTTTCGCCGACATACATCCCCATATCATAACCCCTTTTGGGAATTTCACGGTACGTTTAATGCAATCTGGGTGAAAAGCTTCATTTTTGGATCTGATTACCCGTTTTCGAAAATCCCCCACACATACATCGAATTTTGATTCATCGCTAAATATAATTTTTGACCAGTCGTCTACAGTCCATGATAGCTTAGATTTCGCCCATTGATATCTGTTTTTCTTCTGTTTTGTGGTAAGAAGTGGTTTTTCCTTAGCCTTTGTGTGATAAAACAATATTCTCAAAGAAAAGTTTGTTGAATTATTATGACATACCTTATAAAATTTTAGTCCAGATTTGTGTATCCATTGTCTGCAACATTCTCGCGAGAGTTTTAATCCTGACTCTTCGTTCCACTGTGCCGTAATGTCTCGTAACGTATTTCTTCGTCCTTTTTTGCACAATTTTATAAGAGATCGTTGATTTCTTGCTGACACTAGCTTAGGGCGACCTGAACTTTTACCCTTAACACAAATATCTCCGTTTTCTCTATAGTGTTTTATCACGTTAAAGACCGTTGATTTTGCAATATTTAAAGCTTCGGCAACCTCACGAACGGTATTACCTTGGCAATATTGCTTTACAATGAGTGAACGTAGATGCGAACTTGTCGCTGCACCGCGGACCATTTTTATAACAAACTATTATCAAAATAAAGCTATGGAATATGTAGTTGGCAAATGACAAATATTATCATTGGTCCCAAAGCCCACTTAGTGAAATTAACTAGCTACTACTTATAAGTGTGGAACATCGTCCCAACATTTAGTTGTCAGAAGTTTCTGTACAGAAATGAAATAATATCGTCCAAAATGCTAACAAATTGTGGAACTATTTCATTTATTCGCATTTATGGCAGTAATACAGATACATTTTTATATACTGCCAAAAACCGGATGAATAGGTGTGTAGACATAATTTTTTCTTAGCCATTAAACGAAATGAAATGCTTGTCCCAACATTTAGTTGTTAGGGCTCGTAGTACACATGCATTTTCGGCACGCGGTCGGCTTTAAACAGAAACTTTTAAGTCCCAAGAGATCGTGGCAACCGCGCTCGCTTTCCCCAATACGTTTCTTGTTATCGCCAGACATACTTTTGTTCACGTTCGCTATGGAGCGGTATACTTATAAATTGTTGTTTTGTAAGTGTTGTTGTCTCTTGTCTATTGTTTAATACAATAAATAAAAATAAAAATGGTATTTGAAACCAAAACCATGTTAAAACGAACGCATTTCAAAGATGAATATGAAAATTGAATGACAATTTTGTTTCAGCTACAGAACTACTGTAATAGCAGTCGGTGCCAAGTCATTAGTTTTAATTTAAACGAATTTCCATCACACGTTGAAGATGAAGCTTTACGTGCGTACCGGCCGGTTGTGATACAGGCAGGTATCGACGATTTTATACGCCACTGCTTTGTTTGTTGATATCACTTAACAAAATGAATACTTTTTTCAGGACGCTCTCCAGCACACCGGATCAATTTTCTTCTTGGAATGTAACATTCGTTTCAAAAGATTTGTAATACCTGAAGTATTATTGAATTTATATAACTCGGTCGTTAAGGGTAGCGGAATTTTGACGTGGGCGATGCCCCTTAAGAATGCTGTATCTAGTCGTACTCACAAAAAGATGTTCGATTATTTTCGTACCGATGCGGATAACTTTTTGTTCGTGCAAATGGTATCGGCGGATATTATAATACTCGTCAATACTGAAAGCACACATAAGGATGTGATGCTGCCATGGGTACAATGTGCGTTAACTCAAGACTGTATTTATCCAATAGGAGCTCAATCTGGAGGTTGTCGATTTAATAAAAAACCGCAATATCGTTATTCTGGATGCCATAACTATGACGCGTCCGCATTGAACATAGTTTTAGGACTGAAGTTTAAGTTAGATAGTAGTAAATATACGTATCAGCCTACTTCTGAATTATTCAAAATAGTTCCACTCGACAGAGCCATTATAGAGTTGCAAGGTTTAGAACAAAATGCTACCACTGAAGGGAAACAATACGAATCTTCTTTTTCCTAAGATAGCACTTTATTACTTGCCTGACCAAAAAAATGTTGTGATATTACTTTAAGTAAGTTTATACGATATTCCAGTTTTTGATAACACAATTCCTATCAGGTGGGATTTGGTTAAATTATTTTTTTATATTAAAGTAAAATCTTCAAATTCAATTATCCGCAATATGAAAAGAGAACTCGGCAGAGCTCATACCATTTATGGCAATAATCTTCGATTCCATTCACAATGGAATTTTACTTGCAAAAACACTGCATACCTAGTGGACTAAATAATCCGTAATTGCTCAAGTTCTGTTTGATCTGCACCTATTCGTATTATTGTAATTACGTGTACCTGAAATCTATATTTAATCAGATTTTTAGTTTAAAACAGGGCATAGCTATAAACCTGAACAGTAGAGGCACATAGAAGTCCTTCTAGATTCTGTGGGCAAAGATGTTTGAAAATAATATGGTTGTGAATTACAAAGTAAACCTAAAAGGGTAAAGCATTTTCATTTAGTGACTGAGCATACTATGCACGTCTAAAAATGTTGACAAGTAGGTAGGTACACAAGCTCTTTCTAGCCGGTAACATTTGAATTGGTAGTAATCTTCTCGCACAAGCTTGTGTCACAAAAATGTTACCATCTAAAAAGCACTTGAGGGACTTTAGACGAACACAGTAGGCAAGGCATCATGTACTTAATTATTTACATAGCATCACAGTATGATTTTCATCTATCTCTAAAATGTCTTGAACTGATTTCATTGTCTACAGTTCGATTGAAATCATTCTGTGTCTCTAAATCACTGTACAGAGAAAAATGAATCTCAAATAATTTTGTGATTTCCTAGAATAGACTGCTTAAATAGATAGGTATATAAGAACTGCTCCGTAGGTGTTTAAGTTTGCTCACTTCCCTGTAATAATAAGTATTGCTTACCTATTGGTATTATTTCAAGACTCCGTTAGATAGATGCATTACTAATATAAACTACCTGTAGGTGTACCATTCCAGTGTGTATATATTTATAGGACTATTAAAAGATGTACAGTAGTCTTTTTTTTTTCATTCGCAATGGACACAAAATAAACAGAAGTTCCAGATCTTTGGTTTCGTTTACTGATTTTTTTAGTAACATTTGGTTCTGGTAGGTAAGTATCTTTATAAAGACGGTTATTCAAACGCCATTTCTGCTACAGGCAGAATAAACTCGCCTAACGAATTGAAAAAGTTAGGTACCGAAGCAAAAGTGCAAAAAGATAGTGCGCAAATTAATACTTTGGAGACGTCATTACTGGGGGCATATAACCACGCACTCGCAAGAGTTTGTCTTCTACCTACCTACAAGAAATATAGAAGTCTTTTTTTACACAGAAGAAAAAAAAACATTACAATTACTATAAATGCATTAATATTTATTATATAAGAATAATTATTTAAAAAATTGCTTCACAAATAAGTGATATAATCGATTGTTCCCGGACTTACCCTGTATATTTATATTGTATTTCAATATAAATGATTGAATCAATATAAATATTTATATTATATTTCAATATAAATGATTGAACAATATAACTATAATTATATAAAAACACCAATTATTTAAAAACGTGCTTCACAACGTTTACTTACCCTGTATATTTATATTATATTTCAATATAAAAGATTGAACAACATAATTGAAAACAATATGGTAAAACGCAACTGAAGGTCACCGCCGGTTTTGAGGTAACTCAAGTTTCTCAACGAAATCAAGTAGTCCATGAAAAGTTGGGGCGACATTCATACGGTCAAAACTTGATTATTATACTTCTTCACCCTTAAATTAACAAAAAAAAACCTTAAAATATGCACCGATGACGTCATCAGTGAGGCGTTTTTTTTTTGTGATTTTGAGTTAAATAGGGCGCGGGCAAGTCCGTGAGGCAGGGGCGGACTGGCCAGTCGGGCGATCGCCCGATGGGCCGGTATAAATGTCAACTGATGGGCCGCCAAAAATCGATTTATTTAACATTATTTTCTGTCTATATATTTTTATTGTACCTACTGTGTTATGTTATGCCTTATGAGTTATAATGGTTGATTCCAATTTAATTGGTCAGCGTGCAGAATAAGGCCAGTAGCGCACTAGGCAGCCTCACTGCGGCAGCCACACACGATTTTCAGCTGTCTAGGCGGGCTCGAATAAACAATAGTGTGTGGGATTAGCCCCCGCAGTTTTATGGCTGCCTAGTGCGTTACTGGCCTTATAATAATCGATTTTTTTCGCCGAATTTGTTTTTATTTGTAAGAGGACGCGTTACACTGGACAATGAGTCTTCCTATCTTTTCAATACAGTTTGCGAAAACAAGAAAATCTTCGTTTATGGGTGCGTTTGCACGCCATGGTGTAAGAAAAGTGAACTAAGTAGTATTTTTTAAATATTCGTTGCTTTGTGCTGCCATCCCGAATCCGCGATCCCTATTTGTACTTCGTTAGGTCGCTGACACTCGCATACATTCGTCTTGAGATAAAATTAAAAATAGTATTTTGCTTATCTTTGGTTACCACCTGTAACTGTAAATATCGTTCCATAACTCTAAAAAGGGAATTTAGTGATCTTGCGAAATAAATTCTACCTAAAAATACTTATTTACCATAATATGCGGTTTTGTTCAGTAATTCAATTGAATGCCAATAACAGTGCCTATAGTAATTGTAATTCCTGAAATGCCATTCAAAGTTGGGTTATGTTATGGATTATGTTTACCTGATTTTCTATTAACTGCAAAATAACAAAAAAAACCAGTACCTACCTAGGTAAGTAAAGTTGAGGATCTTTATTTTAATATAGTTCTATTAATGGATTGTTTTAGGCTATCCTTCGACTGTACACATTTCCGAAGATTGACTTCCGACACCGAGTACATTTTTTTCCGATTATCATTTTACCGAACGATGTCATTGCAGTGCGTTTATATAAGGCCATCGGTCACATCATGGTCAGAACACGGTGCGGTCAATTATTGTAACCGTGTATTTCTGTACTGTTCATGTTCTGACCGTAACCTGACCGATAATAATGTGAATCGGCCTTAAGGAATACTCAGCCTTTATGATCACAAAGGACAATCCACGCAATATTTTTAGGAAAACCAGATTTGCAAGTCAGCAATACTAACTCATAATTGAATGTTATTTGTTTGGGTGTGAAATCATATTTTGATATAATACCGATAACATTGAGATCCTTCACTCAACGATTGAATTATTCAATGCCGATAGTATGTAGTTCATTCAAATTATGGGAACCAAGATGGCATCCAATCGGTGGGGTTTCGTTATTATTAATAGTGCTTAAATTTAGTTGTAAGTGACGTGTACATTTATTATCGAATAAATATATAATCTTCAGTTACTGATTTCTTGCAGAGTTGTCTGATAGCACTTCCGAGGTGTAAATACCATCGTACAAGTCGACAGTGCTATTAGATAGCAACTTGGGCGAGAGTATTCTTGCCCATAAGTAGCGCTTCGTCTGGTAAACGTAAGCAGTATTAACACTGTATTATCAATTCAGAAACACCATCCCACATAACCTCTTTTTGTTGTAAGCTCTGAAATTTTTATATTAATTAATTATAACGTAGAGTGAAAAATCCCATGATCCTAAACTCAACGTTTAGAAATACTTCTTTTGCCAGTTTCCTAACCCAAATTTTGAATGTAGGTAACGTTAACCAGTGTAATTCCTACTTATGGTACGGTTTTTTGCTGGATACATTTTATCTGCATTAATAACCAACAAAGCCAATAAAAGGAATAAGTTATACTGCTAAAAAATAGATACATTAATACATTCCAATAAGTACTCCAGTTTAAATTTCCCGCTTTGTAAGAATAGTATACCGTAGCCATCTTAGTGGATATACGTTGAACTACACTGAGCACAAATTTCTTTTCTATAATTGTTTTACGAGTTATTATTCAAGTGTACGGAGTTCATACCGTTTGTGCTTTAGAAACCACATATTATCCATTTTTACATCACGTTTTATTCCTTATATGTTCAAGAATCTGGAGAAACAATTTATATTTCAAAAACTTCTTTGACCTTTGAATTATACACAAAAGATTGCCATTGCAATCGAACGTCTACTTTATACACTTTCAGAGAATGTGCTATGAGTTTTAGTGCAATATAAACTGTTCACTCATAATTTACATACATTTAAGAACAAGAAACAACAAACATTTCCCAAAAAAAAGTATAGTTTTTAAAAACGGTATGAATTACGTTAGGCATGTTTCCCATAAGAAAGCTATTGTGAGATAGGCAACACACAATACTGATAGCGCGCCCTTATGTCAGCGAAAGAAAGACAAGAAACTTTGTTTATACGGTATACGATGTATACTGTGAATACGGATAATTGTATAATTGAAGTTATTTACAGTAATATGGAAAGTGCAATATAGGGCACAGAGGTACCTAATAGAAACGAGGACTTCCTATCGTTAATGAACCCGGGCACCATGGTAATTTCTTGGAACCAATTTTATTGTTAAAAACATTCGGCCCATTGCTAAATTCACATTATCAACAGCGTTATTTGTGAAAAACAAAGAAAAAGCACCCCCGAACGAAAGCCAAGACGAGGACAATCAAAACCAATGGTCAATATAATTACTTACACAATAATAATAAATTTAAGTACCTATGTACCTAATAGGTAAAACGTCAAATTTCAGAACAAGTTATCAAGGCAAAATTATAAAATAAAGGCAATAAAATAAAATATACGCCTTAAGTTGATACTGCTCAAGATATTAAAGAGACTATTTTTATAGAACTAAATGTTACCCGCGAGTTCCAATTCTAAAAAATGGGCCGATAAATATTTTCCCCAGGCCACTTAAAGGTTACCAGTCCGCCTCTGCCGTGAGAAGTCTTAAACATTCTAGAATTTCTATCCGCATGTGTTGGAAGCTTTTTGTCGCAACGAAAAGGCATATTTTCCTTCCTTAATTTCCATAAAATGAGAATTTCCGGCCATTTTAAAAAAACTAAACGTCAAACTGATGGACGAGTCCATTTCAAGATAAACCAAAGGGGTGTCCTAGGTCGGGACTTTAAAATACAAATAATGAAAAATTTAACGCGAGTAGTAGGCACACCAATGCCGAGCGAACCGAAGGCGAGTTCGGCATAACTCGGGCCGTCCCTCTCTACGTCCACGGTGTCAAACGATGTTTATCAACGGCCAACCAAACACACATTACACGTTTTTGCACGGCGATGCCGAGCGAGCTAAAGCATAGCTCGGGCCCTCCCTTAGACTCGCCTCTCTACGTCCACGGTGGTAAACGACGTTTACCAACTGCCAAACACACTACACTTTTTTGTACACCAGTGTCGAGCGAGCTGGAGGCGAGTTCGGCATAGCTCGGGCCCTCCCTTATTAGACTCGTCTCTCTACGTCCACGGTGGCCAACACTACATACTTTTTCAATCATACATCCAACCTAATAAAAAACGGCCGTAACGCTTATGTGCTCGATTTTCCGCCGCGTGTCCGTCTGTCTGTTCCATCGAGATTTCGCGGTCTCTGGGCCACCTAGAGATTTCGACTTTTCGCGAATTCTGAGATGGTAGGGTCCTTCCTAAGACAGTAAACGTTAAATGTAACTGAACTACTTTGGAGACGGTTTACTGTTCAAGACAGTACTAGATTTTTTTCACTACTAGCGTCTGATGACATGATTATTAACCTTTTTTCCACTTGTAAAGTAGGCTTTCTCGGCATTTGTTCAAAGTGGTTAATAATTTTTTATTATTAACTAGTAGTCAATAATGAGAACTGTCACGCTGTCACTTTTAGAAAACACAACCCGAAATTTCGCTCAATGAACGTTTAGACAAGTTCTCTAAAACGAATGCCACCATTCGCAATTTCCAGAGAAATTACATACCTAAAATTATCACATTTTGAAAAAATTCGAACGAAATTACTCTTTGAAAAATCTCAATGACAGAACAAAATACGGCCTGTTTGACTTGTACTTCCACGTACTTGATTGACATGTTAAATTAAGAAACAAACAATTCTGTCCAACCGTTAACTCTCTTATCAATATAATATGTTAATTTAGAGGATTTCAAGTGCTAGTAGTGAAAAAAATAGTATATATACCACGGTAGAGAAGTCTATTACTTCGCACCTTACACCCCTCGGCGCAAGCGCCTCGAGATGTAATCTTGGTGCTCAGGCAATAATAGTGGACTTCTCTACCTTGATATATAATGTACTATTTCTTTAAAAAACAACGTTAGGCTCACAATGGGTAATTGTGAGTTATATGATAAATTGAACTAAGCGACATCTGATAAACAAACGCGGTTGAATCGAAATCGCGGATGACTCAAAACGACTACCCTTCCCCTAACGAAGTAAGGTGATGTCGGACTTTCGATTCTTAACACACGCACTTTATATACCAATGCCGAGCGAGACGAAGGCGAGCTCGGCATAGCTCGGGCTCACCCTTTTCACAACGAAAATGACTCGCATTTTTCGTACACCAATGCCGAGCGAGGCGAAGGCGAGTTCGGCATAGCTAGGGCTCCCCCGTAGACCCGCCCCTCTACGCGTACGACGTTTACCAACAGCCAAACACAACACACGCTCCACTTTTTCTCATACATCCTAACCTAATAAAAAACGGCGATCTTTGCGAAAACGTAGAACTACTTAAAGTAGTGATTCACTACCATTATATTTATATTTCATCCAAAATACTTGTAACATGCTATTAAATCACCCATATTCAATACCTTTCAGATTTTTAATAGTTTAGTGCATACCTCCTATTTACAACTTTGTATTTCATTTTTATTGCTGCGTAATCCTTTTTTTTTTCTCTTTAATTTCCGATACCATTTTTAGCGCATTTCCACAAAAAGAAAAGAAAAATGCAACAAATTCCAGGAAATAAAAACATGTCTATATTAAATTTATTTGCAAAGACAAAGTTCAGATTTGACAAGTCATAATTAAATACATTTGTAAAAATAAATAATTATTCTGCCGATTTAAATTGTAATTCATTCATAATAAATATTCTAGGTTATATCACTGGTTTGAGATCTTCTTACTATCTTTTATTCTTTTGTTTCAAATAGGATAAATATATTGCCATCCAACATCCTAATTTACTCTTGACAAACTATTCAAACAAATTAATTGGCATAAACAAAAAATTGATAATAAACTTTAAACCTAAATTAAAGTTACTCAAAACAGACTCGAGAGTTAACAAATTAACTGATCGTATTTCCGTATTCGTTAATTCAGTCTTGTGACAATGGATACACCGCATCGACTCGACGAGGACATGAGGTTTAGAGCCGCCTATGATTCCATCGTTAGTTAAAAATCCGGTAAATTTGATTCTATCGTCCGGTTTCAATTGCAGCGTGAAGTTAGAAAAATGATGGCCGACTTCTAGTACTACTTCGGCCGTTTTCGTCCATAATACCATATTTCTTCGTAATACAATGTGAAACTCGTACACGTTGAGATTATCTAACGAACACTTTCTCGTTGTTCTGATCGCGTCGTAAAACATTAGACATTCTTCCGTTACATCTTCAGGAAGATTCTTGCAATCGTGTTCGACGCTCTCGCCGAAAATGCAATACAGATATTGAGAAAGAGATTTCGGTATATAACCGAATATTTTTCTCCAGACGTTTGTGATTGATCTTACTTTAATTTCGTGCACCCATCCCTCCCATTCGACGGGTACGTCGGCCAACTTGGCGCATCGAATTTGATTCGCGGCAGCTGTTGAAGTCTCCCAATTGGGTTGATCGCAAAATTCTTCGTACTGATCCCAGGTAATACCATTTGCGGTGGAGCTGTGAGTGTGAACGTTCAATGAGGAGTTGTTGGCGGAAAATGAATTTATTAGAATGAAAAACGTGACGATGGCGGTTATAACTTGCAAATACGCTATTTGTTGGCGAAATCTTGTACGGGCCAACAACCAACTGATTCCTAAGCCTGATGATGCAAATAGTAGAAAGAGGAGTATGCTATATAACGACACAGAAGTGACCACCCATTTCGTTAAAGCTATTGAAGGTAAAATGATAGTCGTTAAGCCGACCAACGGTAAAAACATTACAATGCCAACTAACGCCAGAGTACCACGCATAAGGCCAAAAGTAGTCGCGCCTTGAGAGTTGATTATGGCAATCTGCAACCAACTTAAAGTGACACAGTGCGGTATAAGACACTTGTATGTGCCTGACCAATTCCGTCTCGACGCTATGCACACTAACAAAAATGGTATTAGGATGTAGAATAAAATTCTGAAGTTTATACAAAACTCAATACCATTCCCAATGATGTAGCTGGCGAAAGTAGGAATTTTAAGGTCTAGGAATCTCCAACCTTGTGTTACCACGGCGTCGGTCTCGTACGGATACTTCGCAAGTACATTCGTAGCAAAACTAAGCAAAGTTAGTAGTGCGGTGGCGCTTTCTCCCCGCTCCCTGTGTGTAAAACTGTGTAAAGTAATGAACGTTAGACAGAAAGCGAGGATCGTCAATTCGGACTGTGGTATCCACTGATCAGAGATAATGGGATAAACAAGCAGGTTTATAAGTAAAGCGAGAAAGAAATGGGCGAAGGGCTTTAAATTGTTGCGAATGAACTGATATTCCGCCTCGGCCGCATTTAAACTGCCACCCGAGTAAGTGATAAACAAATTGGACCAAACTTGAAAATCGTGATAATGGTTACCCATTTGTAGCATTTGAAAGGTGCTAATTACCATAGTTACGAACGTGATGTAATAGGTCGCCATAGGAACAAAATGTAGCACACTGTTGCAACTAACAAACGAATACAAACACATCATGAGGACCAACTGAATGTCACTTTGAATCGAGGGAATATAACTACCGATAGGACTGCAGCCTAAAGCTCGGATTAATTTAAAGTATAAGATTTTGCATGTGAGAAATGGATGAAGTATAGATCTGTGAACAACCGGGATCTCATCGAGCGCACATAAGTTCAAGTCGGAAAAAGTCACTCCTCGATTTACCAACGGAAGGTGTCCGTGCGAATAATCGACGGCCGCCGAAACCAGATTTTCTTCGGTTAACTTTTGGTTGCCGTCGACAGATCTTCCCGTCCAATCCACGTCCTGATCCGAATCGCTACCCTGTTCGTCGTAATTATCCACAAGCTCTCCATTTGACGGTTCTCCGCTTCCATTGCAGTTGTACGAACGGTTTTTTTGAATCGCGTTTGACGTACTTTGTTGCTTATCGATTTCCAAAATTCGCCTTTGAAGTTGTTGGGACGTAATGTAATCTTCGCCATTTGACAAGCTATGGAAATCGTGTTCATATTAATTAACTAAATTAAACACATTGGTACCTACACATTGTATTGCATTCATTTCATACAAAAGCCCTCATCAGTACCTACTACCATACGTTTCATTGTTGATTACAATAATTATGAACAAGAAATACAATCCCGTATCAGAAATGCAGAACATTTTGTATATTTTTATTAAACCAACAAGTGTTTTTTATTTGTCACACAATCATCAGCGAGAAAATTTGATGCTAGTTTTCCTAATGAAACATTGAGCCATAATAATAAAAAAGATGGATTTGCGCATGAGTAGACCCAATGATGCTATATAAGTAATATGGATTGCCTGATCCCTATTATACTCGTAATGTTGCCAGCGTTAAGTCATATCCCAACCCTAATGTGACGTCATCAACGGACCTGCCTGTCAGAATTGAAGGTTATAATATGTAAACGTTTTTGCATTAGTGTTATAACTGTAACCCAAACCAATTCAAAACATGCCTTTTGGAAATTGTAAAACTCCCACAATCTTAGGGTTACTTTTATTATTTTTTTTAAATAATTTGTTATTTTCATACTTAGTTTGTAGAAATATTATATTCATATATTTGTCAATACTGTAGGTAACTCAATGATTAATAATTGTTTATGTTAATTTTATTAGCTTGGTAAGAGATTTGATACACCTTTTAATTATGATTACTTTTGGAAGGGTGGTAGATCGCCTAACCAGACGAACCCCTGTCCATTTGTAAGATTCTTGCTTACAATAAACTTTATTATTTATTATTATTATTATTATAACTGTGCGTTAAGTGTTTGCTATATTGCAACAAAATCAAAAATACTGGACGCCGATGTGCAGTATTGGACTGTAATACGAATTCATGGGCGTGTTGACTTTGCAAGACAATAAACGGATAAATTCGGTTTCAATCACAGTCGGCCATGGAATTATTGCCGTAAGAAATACCATTGATTATAGTTGTGTGTATAACAATGGAAATACATTGTGAACTTCAAGGCAAACATTCATCGCCGATTTTGTAATTTTTTTCTTTATCAAGTGGCATCATAATCCAATATGGCGTCCATAAGAAATCGGAGCAACTGCGTAAATTTTTCATTAAAGCCCCTGACGATACGTTCATCTCTTTGAAGGTTTGTAACGAGTTGACAGTTCTCAGAAAATGTTGACAGTGAGTACCTATAACGTTTCGCATTTCAGGTTGTCGCTCTTTGTGGAGTCTTAAAACTTGAAGCCAACATCTGCAGCGCCATCACTGAGTATGACTAAAATAAGAACTAAATCTGAGGCGCTAAATATGAAAATTGCAAGGGCTAGTATATCCACACAAAATATTAATACGATAACTGTTTAACTTTATACCTGACGAATTAATTTATATAATAAATAAATTTGAAGTAAATGTAATTTTTGGATAATGATACCAATAGATTGTGGAATAAGCTTTTATTTAAAAAATATACATGTTTATTGCAGCGTCTAACCAATCTCCAGGTTGGTGTATACCATGATGGTGAGGGTGTTACACAACGATTAAGATTCATATTTTGATGACCAGCAAAAGTGTTTACATCTGTTTACATTTTCATCTACTGTCATTTCTTCAACTTGTTCTTCATCGGAGAAACTATCGACATTTTCATTTGATGGATTCGGAAAAATTGAAGGAACCAAATTAGCCTTTTACTTACGCGAAAAACGTTTCTGTTTTAACGTCCTTGTTTTTATGGTTATAAACTGCATCAAATTTTTTTATAAAACAACTTCAGCGTCTCATTTTTAATTAATTATGTAAAAGTAGACTAACGAACACAAATTTACATAAAATCACTATAAAACACTAAAATTAAATCTCGTAACATTGACGTGTGTCAAATTTCGTTTCACAAAACGCACACCGCCTTGTGATGGCGCTATAGACGTTGTCTTCATAAATTTGACTTTGCTAGCAATCCAGTTATTTTTTCATCCAAGACTTACAGGCCGGAGCGCTCGAAAAGGTCTCTAGATACTACAAACACTATTTGAAAGTCCATTAGTAATAATTATTTAAAAAATAATAATTTCCATTGCGCGTTCGCGTGTTTCTAAAGTTACGCTATTTACTAACACTGCTGAAAAAAGGAACAAAAGACCATTTCTTAAAAATTCCTTCTGAACATTTTTGTGTCCTTTGGCCACAATTCATTCGATATATGATACAATTGTACCAACAACAAAATTTTCCGTATGGTGAATTTTGCTCTGCGCGGATAACTAATGCGCGATCTTGTAGGGCCTGTTAAATCTAATACCAAATAAGGCATTATATACGCAGAATTGGAGGCGCATATCATTGTAATTTAAAACGCCGAAAGAATTATAATGATATCGTTCCTAAAAACAGAAATATGATGGTGGAAATATAGAAAAACACGGATTTAATATAGTCGTTTTATCTTCAAATACTTTAAACCTTAAAATTAATTACTTCCAGTGTGACTAAAAATTAACAAACATTATAATTTAATTGTTTGCACCATTGACCAGCTCTTATTGAAATTTCGTGGCTCTATGTTAAACGGATTCGGAGTAAAAAAAATAAATAGTGGAGCCGCGCACGGATTTTCCATAAGCCGTAATGTATTTAATGTGTCCCGAACTGACTCCTAAGGTCACGTGACTTTTTCTAGCGCTCCGGCAGTTAGTATTTTTGACAGTACATCATTTATAATGTCTAATGTACATTCGCAAAATTTTAACGAAATCATAGTAACCGTTTTGGCGAAAAATTTTTTTTAGTTTTTTAACGTTGACATTTTATTTCTCAGTTTTTTTGTAATAAAACCTGGCACAATATTTGTAGGTTGTATACAGAAAAATAAGGTATTTCGAATATAGTCCAGTCAATTTGTACTTTCTGATTACAAAAGGTCCGGTAGAAGATTTTATTTTTCCGACTTATTTAAATGGTAAAGAGAGAGAAAAATCCAAGCCAATTCGACTAACGTCGGGAGAAATTTCTGTGATCAAAAATCTGCAAAAATTTTTCTTTTTTCCAATTTTTCTCAAATAACCCGCCAACGGCAATACTTAGGTAAAATCAGTACCTTTAATTTGATATTTTATTTGGCCCCCTAACATGTATAGTTTAGGAGATACACTAATTTAAAGTTTCATGTTTATAGTAATTTACACAAATAGATTAGGTATACATCTATATCTAAATTTATTTATTTAATTTTTTAATTTTAGCTGATGTTTATTTTTTTCAAAAATTAAATAAAAACTCGAAACTTCAACTTGATGTATCTCCTAAAAAACAGTGTAGGTAATTTGTGGTTCTTTACATTTGTCAACCTTATTCATTTCCTTCTCTCTCACTGGCTTGGCCCAACATGAGGTGTTAAAATTAATACGTACAGTCGTGGTCAGAAGTAATGTCCTCCCTTAGAAACTGCAACTGTAGAAAAAGTACCAATGTGTCAGTTTCTCCGTGATTTAGTTCAATTTCATTTCAATCTTAGGCATTTTCCTCACGTTGAAAAGAAGCTCAAATCTCACAAGAGATCCGGTGTATTAATTATGTGCTACACTTGAGATAATCGAGGGACATTACTTCTGACCAAAACCGTACCTACCATTAAAAAAAACAAAATAAAAAAAAAGTAAGTGTGACGGACAGACGGACGACATCAACGGAAAACATTGGAAAATACTCAAAATTCTTCAATGCAACCATCACCATCTGGCTACCCAGATTTGTATTCAAAAATTGAAGGTTCCTAACCTTTCAAGGATCGTTGTCCAATGCTTTTCGTATTGAAAAATGCAATACCATCTCAATGCACGTAGGTCATAAGGTCAAGTACATATGCTTTAATGTTTTTTATGCGGTTAGCAATTCATGGGATTAGGATCACTGTTGGAAGGTGTGTTTTACATCGACATATGACTTATAAAAAGAGACATGGTTGAGTCTATACGGATCCTTAAGCTATCCAGGATCATGACTTGATCTTCAAGAAACCTTTTATCTAAACCGTATTTTTTTAAACATACGGTTATATTAAACCAATGAAAAATGTTTTTTTCAAAATCTTTCCGAAAGAGCTCGTATTTTTATCTTCAAGTTGTGGTTGGTTAGAATTAAACATTTTGCCTTTGTGTACCTAGGTACTATCCTTCGACAAACCGTTTCGCTCATAAATTATGCCAACACCAAAAGATATATTTCTTCCAGACGTCCCAATCGCCTTTTATGAGTACCTTTCCAGACAATCCGCTCTTGAGATATAAGTAATTATAAGCGATCACGATAATGGGTCGAGGAGGAAGACTATGGATGGTAAAAGGTAATTCCTTTCATTAAGTCCATTCATTAGAGTACCATGAAGGGTAAAACAAGTCCCCCTTCAACCCCCCCCCCCTTTTTGATACAGGGTTAGAAAGAAAGGCGGGAGCTGGTAGAAAACATTTACTTTTTTCCCTTTTAATTAGAATACCGTGGAACATACAGTCATCCAGTGATGTCGAAATGGAGTCGCGCAGCAAGGTTATCATTTGTAGAAACCAATTCATTTCGATGAGACCTTTCATTAGAATACCATGAAGGATAGATCATGTATTTACTCCCTCTTCCTCCACCATTTTCAAAAGTTTGACATGACATCACTAGATGCATGTACATACAAAATCTGAGACAAATTAATGGTCCCACATTTCTTTAATTCTTAAAAAATGCGCTAAAAACTACTATAAACACGAAACTTTAAATTAGTGTAAGTATCTCCTAAACTATACATCTTAGAGGGCCAAATAAAATATCAAATTGACGGTACTTTTATACACTACAGGTTTTAATAACGGATGATTTTATCTAAGTATTACCGTTGGTGAGTTATTCTTAAAAAACCGAAAAAAGTCAGAAATTTTTGCAGATTTTTGACCACAGAAATTTCTCCCGACGTCAGTCGCATTGGCAAACTTGGATTTTTCTCTCTCTACCATTTAAACAAGTTTGAAAAATAAAATCTTCTACCGGACCTTTTGTAACCATTTAGCATTTTTACGTCTAATTTGACTGGACTAATAACTTAATAAAAATTTCAGGTTGCTATTTGAAAAAAAAATTTGATGATACAGACGGAAAATATTCTTTAAAAGTTGCTTAAAATGATCTAAAACGTCCACACTTGATGAAATTTTATGATGTCCAAAAAACAGCAATCGCAATAGCCACCTAGGAAGCTACTTAATTCAAAGGGCCCTGTCCAGTCATATTATTCCCAAACAGTGGCGGCCATCTGGGGAGGGCAAATGTTAATACAGTGATAGTTAGGGATCGTATTCTGTAGGGGGGGTGGGGGATATCCCTTAGAACGGGGGTCCCGAGGGTAACCACTAGAAACTCTATTTTATGCATTTACCACTAAATTTGCCACACATACCGAGTTATCCCTTAACACTTTGTCAATCAATGACGTTTCCTCCATGACCTGACAACACTGTGTCTCACAGAAAATTGCATATTCTTGAAAACAATCGCACGACAATTTTTTCAAACTCGGGAGGAGTTGTATGAGCACAACAATCTTGGCCCTTGGGAGGGGTTAATTTTCAATTGCTCCTCCCGTTGATCCGCCCCTGCTCCCAAATACTTAGGTCAAAAAGTCATGACTTGCACAAAAAACTTCATAGAACAAAAGTTGCTTAGAATCAAATCTATCCTTTCCCAGGTTTATTTTCAAGGATATATTTTTCTCGCCAGAGGAGTCGCATTCAATCTTAGGTCAGGTACAGAAAAATGAATGAATTTTTAGAAAAATCTGTGCTGTTTGGAAAAATTATACACAAATTAATAGTAAATGTACGAGGTGCTATATCTGGACAAATTGAATGTGCAGTGCTATAGATTCATTGGATGTTAGCAAATGCACTTGTACTTCTAAATTAAGACATTACTACATACTATACCTACTCAGACTACAAAGTAAAAATTGGCTTGTCAAATATTCACCTTGAAAATAAATCTCGCGCAGCTTTTCTAGCCAATTTTTCATCTTGTGTCATATTAATACACAGCTTGACATCCATATAATTATGTTCGGTAATACCCTTTCCACTCAAAAAACATGACCGTAACAATTCCGTTGCTTCGGAATTCCCTTGTTCCGACGACTTCATCAGCCAATAAACTCCCAAACGACAGTTCTCACGTTTTTCCGTTTCCAGCTCTGTAATGACAGTGTTAGTTAACTCTGCAAACAATTATCAAGTATTGGCGATTATGTATCACACTCATGGTATTATTGCTTACCACATTCCTCCTGCAACAACTGTTTGGCCAGTACCATTTGTGACTCCGCACATCCATCATTAGCCAACTGATTTCTCAAACGTTTTAGAGAACCATAGGGCCCATCTAAAAATAAATAAGTCCTACAAAAGTTTTTTCCAATAATAAGGTAATACTTCGCTAATATCAAGTAACAAATGACTTTATTTACCATGAATAGCCCACTGCTTACGAGCAGATGTCGATTTCTTTGAGGGAACAACTCCTGCCATTATAAATAGTGAGCAAAATTGTAAATAAACAAAATAGAAATGTCAAATTCTCATAAAACGTTCCGCTCATGTGCGTAATGTGTTAATTCTGTTGCTATGGAAACCGACACCAGTGGCGGCTATTCCACAAGGCCAACGGGCTCGGACACCCCAACCAATAACATTTTTTTTCGGAGATTTCCACGAATAAATGCTTACGACGATTGGTAGTTACCGTTAAAAAAAATCCCCAAAATTGAATATTTCTTAGTTAATTCGAAAGGTGAAAAGCTAATATTCGATAAATGAATCAACTACCTATTACCGCAATTTAAAAAAAACTGAAAGAACTCAGGATATTGGTTCATAACGTTTGCAATATTGTGCTATTGTTTCTTCGGAATGAATAAAAATTACTTGACACTTTTATGGATCGTTGTTGGGTGAAAACTCATCGGACACAAGAAGCTGAAGGCAATACAATTCGCAATAAAGCGAAGAATTTTACCTTTTGTTAGTGATGGCATAAATATTACACAACAATATAGGTACTAACTGGATGCAGCAAGCAGAGCTAAATTTTACCATGAACATGTATGAACTGAACAAAATGCAAAATCAGCAAATGAAGACACTATTTCCTTCATCTAAAGTGAGCCTTCCACATGTATTCGTTTGATCGAACTTGGAGGGTACACACTTGCAAACAGACTAAGTTCGAACGTGGAAGTTTTAAAGTATAACGCCTGTGTTAACTGATGAAATCAGCAGTCTAGTATTGGGAGTGGGGTGGGGGTCCTTACTCAAAAATTTAAACTTAAAAAAATGGGGCCTGGATGGAGCGGGAAAACACGAACTCCCAACACCAATGAAGTAATACTAACCTTGCAGTCGCACATGCAACCGACACTTGGACGTTTCTTGAATGATTTATCAAAAGTGCAAAACGAGTAAAAAATGCAATAAAAAATTCCATGTGTTTGTTAATCCAACTTTTGTGCGCTTTTGAATTCATTTGATTTGCATTTAGGAATAGTGGGGGTGACAACTCATTTATTTTTTTTAAATGTCAGTCCTGTGTGACATTTTACCACTCTGTGGGTCATACTACAAAACTATACATACTATTATATGATTATGTTGTTAATAAATAAAAAACATTAAATTAGATTATATCTGTATAGCAAAAAATATTTTTTCGTTAACTTTTATCTTTATGAGCCTTCAATAAAAAGACACCCACACCCACACCCTTTGAAGGGCGCCCAGGATCGGATAGGTACGATTCCACATACACAAACATATACCCAACATTTTAAATGTTATTAACATAAGTTAAAACACATATATAGATCTTCCTCTCACACTACAGAATTAATATTTCACTTAACGAGAAATTTGTTCCTTCCGAAAATGGTTTGTGTGTTTTGGAAGGTGTGCTTTAAGGCATAATTTGTTATGTGTCTCATAATCGCAATGAGCACATTTGAAATCTTTACAAACTTTATGTTTTAAAAGGTGTTGTTTAAAGTGGTATTTGTTACTTGTCTCATAATCACAATGGGCACATTTAAAATCTTTAGAAACGGTATGTTTTAAAAGGTGTCGTTTAAAGTAGGATTTATTACTTGTCTCGTAATCGCAATTAGTACATTTTAACACATTTACATTACTAGAAAGTTTGTGTGTTAAAATGTGTCCTTTAAGACATTGTTTATTGTTTGTTCCATAATTACATTGAGCACAATTAAAATCTTTAGAATCGGTATGTTTGAAAAGGTGTCGTTTAAAGTAGTACTTGTTACTTGTCTTATAATCGCAATTACCACATTTAAAGTCTTTAGAAACTTTATGTTTTAAAAGGTGTTGCTTAAAGTGGAATTTGCTGTTTGTCTTGTAATCACAATTAGTGCATATAAAATCTTTAGAAACTTTGTGTTTCAAAAGGTGTCGTTTAAAGCTGTCTTTGTTATTTGTATCATAATTACAATTAGCACATTTTAGCACTTTTACATTACTAGAAAGTTTGTGTGTTAAAATGTGTCTTTTGAGATATTGTTTAATATTTGTTCCATAATCACAATGACCACATTTAAAATCTTTAGAATCGATATGATTTAAAAGGTGTCGTTTAAAGTACGATTTGTTACTTGTTTCGTAATCGCAATTATCACATTTTAGCACATTACTACAAAGTTTATGTGTTAAAATGTGCCCTCTAAGACATTGTTTATTATATGTTCGATAATCACAATGAGCACATTTCAAATCTTTAGAATCAGTATATTTTAAAAGGTGTCGTTTAAAGTAGTATTTGTTACTTGTCTTGTAATCACAATTAGCACATTTAAAATCTTTAGAAGCTTTATATTTCAAAAGGTGTTGTTTAAAGTGGTATTTGTTATTTGTTTCATAATCACAAGTAGCACATTTAAAAACTTTAGAATCCGTATGTTTTAAAAGGTGACGTTTAAAGTAGGATTTGTTACTGGTCTCGTAATCACATTTAGCACATTTTAACACATTTACATTACCAAAAAGTTTACGTTTTGCTCCATAATGATGAGCACAGCCTTCAAAATCATTTTGCTTTAAAAGATGTTGTTTAACTTGTAGCTTACTATTTGTCGTGTCTTCACAAAAGTCACATTCAAAATCGTTGAAAATTTGAGTTTTAATATTCAATCCACAATCAGTTTGTGGATGTACTTCGTCATTATCGAGCGATTTGGAGCACTGTGCAGTAATGGTAATTTCGTCCTTTATTGTAATCGATGCTTGGTTGCTTACTAAAATATTTCCTTGAAGGTCGAAATGGATTTCTTCTTCTTGTTTTGGTTCGATTTTAATGTGCGATGTGACATGATTTCCGTCCATATCTACCATCAAACGTTATCAACAAATGTGTTACCATTACGTTTTTGTTTATTAAAAATAAACTTTGGTCAAAGAGTAATATTCTTTGCTTTGGTGTTAAACAATACAAATTTCTTACGTCTTTCTGTACAAGGTACAAGCCTACGAGTACAACTCTGGCACTTTGGTTGTAACTCAACTACCGCTAAGGGCCAACTTTCAGGTACACGAGGTACCTCATCCATAACCTATCCGACGGCGATAGCTATTCTCCCTACACTCTTTGCCCTTGTCTGTACTTGATGTTTTGATACACAGGGTAGTTGCAAAATGTCAGGACATCACTTTGGAAGTTGGTTTCATGGAGCTTGCTCCAACTATATTTACTCCAAATAATAACACAAATGCGAGATGCCAACGAAAACGGGACGGCTGCTCTTCTTGGCAGTGTCGAGATAATCAACGAACAAATCATCTGAAAATTTTTAGTGACAGTGGACCTCAGTGGACACTCCATTAGAGATCAATTCTTAGACCATATAGTACATGGTCTAAGGATCAATTATACAAATTGACATCTGCGCACAGCGCACTAATTACCTTCAAATTGTCGTTGTTCTTCACAGTCGTAAAGGGTAGATGCAGAGAACACACCCTAAAGGCATTTGAGCTTGCAAAGAATAATAATTATGGAAGTCGCCTTCAATTTTTGATATAATTATCCCACGTTAGAATTATTATCTACATTTTACTCAGCAGCACTTGTGATCCGAGTGAGGGAACAGTGTGGGCTTTGTAGTAAGTGAAAATATTGATTTACATTTGATTGGCCAATTAATTTATAAATTTCATAGTGAAAATAATTATGTCGGTGGGTGATGAAACAGAGATTAAGGTTGAACTGATTCAAGAAGAAGAAATCAATTCCTCCGTCTCAAAAAATGTCGTTATAAGGAATGAAGTTTCAGCAACAATAAAGGAAGAATTTAATGAGAGTATCGGTGAAGATTACTCTGAAATTGTGTTTTACGGAGACCAAAATCGTTTAGGACAGAGGAATCGACAACGTGCCTTGAATGTTTTTAAATGTGCCTCTTGTAATTATGTTGCTAAGAATAAAATGTACTTACAACGCCATTCCAAAGGACATTTAGTGCAGAAAGTTTCTCAAAATTTTTATTGCGGGAATTGTGATTTCTCAACAAAAAACAAATCATATTTAATACGGCACCTTCGCAAACATCGCTTTATACGCATTTCGAAAGATTTTGTGTGTTATAAATGTAATAGTTATGCAACAAATACTAAAGCATCTTTGAAACGACACCTCTTAATTCACAAAGATTCTAAAGATTTTAAATGTGACTGGTGTGAATTTGCAACACATAATAAATCATATTTGAAACGGCACATTCAAAGGCATATTTTAACACATGGCCCTAAAGATTTCAATTGTGACATTTGTGACTTCGCATCAAACGACAGGTCAAATTTTAAACGACATCTTCTAAAACACCAAGCTTCTAAGGATTTTAAATGTGATCATTGTGTGTTCACAGCAAACAATAAACAGTGTTTGATAAGACACCTCTTGAAGCATAGAGTTTCGAAAGAGTTTAAATGTGACAAGTGTGGTTACGGTACAAATAATAAATCACATTTAAAACAACACACCTTAATACACAAAGAATCGAAAGATTTCAAATGTGACTATTGTGATTATGCCACTAACATCAAATCTTCTTTTAATCTGCATGTAAAGTGGCATCTCCTAGCAGAAAATGTTTCAAAGGAGTTTAAGTGTGACAAATGTGAGTACGCAACAAATTTTAAATCATATTTTAAACGACACCTTTTAACACACAAAGCGTCTAAAGATTTCATATGTGACAATTGTCATTATGCAACAAATATTAAAGCACATTATAATGACCACATCTTAATACACAAAGATTCCAAAGATCTGAAATGCGACAAATGCGGATTTGCCACAAATATTAAATCCTATTTTAAACGACACCTTTTAGTACACAAAGATACTAAAGATTTCAAATGTGACAATTGTGATTTTGCAACAAATAACCGATCATATCTCAAACGACACATTGCAGGACACAAAGTTTCTAAAGACTTTTATTGTGACACATGTGGGTATGGAACAAATAATAAATCACATTTGAAGCGACACTTTGTAATACACAAAGAGTCGAAAGGGTTCAAGTGTGATAAGTGTAATTATGTTTCAAATTTTAAGTCGTCTTTTACACGTCACATTAATGGTCATGTCTTAAAAAAAACTACGAAAGATTTAAAATGTGACAAATGTAATTATGCGACAAATTTTAAGTCATATTTTAAACGACACCTATTGAAGCATGGTGTTTCAACATTGTAAATTTGACACTTTCTGAAACATAAGCCACGTTCGAGGCCACGTTATTAATCTCATCAACACAATTATTTAATTCATCACAGATTTTAAATCGCACCTTTTGATGAGCACATTTCTATTCATTGTTTTTTTAAACTGTGAGCTGTAGTCAACCTCCTACTATTTTAAATGTTATTTTACAACACAGTTAAAGTAATGTACCTACTTACTTTATTTCATGTGATCCCCATTTGTAAAACCGATATTACACGCATCAATTTTTTCTTCAATTTTAATGACTTCCTGAGTTCTCAGTACTAAAGTTTCAAGATCCATGTCGATTTTAAGATCAATTTGAAGAGATCTCTTTTAATCTATTTTAACTGTTCTTACAATTGATAGGTACTAACTATTCCAGTGATGATCAGTTTTAGAACCCAATTCCAATAGGTTTTTAAAATTGGCCAAGCATAACTTATTTGTTGTGTCAAAACTAACTAAACATTTGTCTCATTTGCTTAATGTATTTAATTCATTTGTGTGGTGTTTAGTTAACTTTATAGAGAATAGAAACAAACATTGTTAGAGAATGTTTTTTTACACATTTTAATTTGAAATAAATGTTTTTTTAAACATACTTTCTTGGTATTGTACTTAATGGATATTGCTTGACATTGTAGTGCACACAATCGCGTTGTGTAGGTGTTCGTTTTCTTGGTTCTCTGCAGTCAAAATTAATAATACTTTTCAATCGAGAAAAAAGGCACTCTATCCAGCCTTGTCTTAGACGACAACGACAGACAGGGCATCTCAAGTAAAGTTTGCACCCCCAACAAATCAGTTTCCTAAAACAATGAACAAAAAAATGTTCAAATATGTATGGATAATCCTTAGGTCATGGGGTTGTCATTCCTTTAAAAAAATTCAATGACACAGGGGTTGTGTGAGTGTGCGAGGTGCGTTGACAAATTACAATGAATGAATGAAACGTATACGTAAGCATTTCGTTAAACGTAACTCGTACATATTTCGTATCGTTTACGTAAAGTTTACTTCGCTGTTACAATAAACGTATTTTACGTGTAATATGGAATGTTAAAGCACATCTATCTGCAAAAAGAGTATATTATGTAGTAAATTTGTAAATATACCATGCGAGCAAAAATGAGTTGCTGTCGAGGACCTTTGCAATTTTTGTTTACATGGGGAAATCGTACTTAACTGAACTTCCAAAGGCGACTCGACAGCAAACTCATTTTTGATCGCCCCGTTATAACCTATCTCGCGCCAAAATACGCCGCTTGTTCGTGCGTCTTCGGCTAACGGCCCCGTCGCGTGCACTCCCGGAATGACGCGCTGTAAGGTTTGGAGTGAAGTCAATCTAAAACTGTGTGTATAATTCTTTGATTATATATACTACTATAATCAAAGGTATAATTTATCTTCGCGCCATGACTGATACCTGCTTTGAAGTTTGAATGTCAGCAAGCGCAAATATTTTTCAATTATACCAACCCACCAGTGCAACCAACATTAATTATTTATTTTTACTAGCAACCGTACGTAACTTTGACACATTTTCAACCTTTGCGACTATGCGCAAGACTTACATATCGCTTACATATACGTACGTAAAAATTACGTTCATTGTAAACACCTTCGTATGTTTCTATACAGTTCACCTTTGCGAAATTTTTACGTTTTATGTATTTCTTACGTATACGTTCATTGTAAACGCACACTTACAGTTTATATTTTATTATTTTAATTTTAAATTCGATAAATTCCATAACCTACAGACCCATTAAAAGAGTAGTTGTTGATATTGGTACGTGAGATGGCGCAGACGCTTGCCTCACACTCATCTCCCATGTATCAAGTAGCTGTGATAATGAAAAATGCTTTGGAAGTTTCTTTATTCTCGCCAACAGTGCGGTTTGCACGGCTGAGAGAAACTGAGTGGCATTATACTCGTGTGGAGCCATGTAACATTTTGGAGAACTTTTCGGATAGTCTTCAGGTATTATTAATGAGACAGGAGGGACACACGGAAGATACTTGCATTCCAAACCGCATATCAACTGAATTGATTTCGAACCTGGTTGTTGGCAGGGATCTAATGAAACTTTAAAACGTTGATCTAAACGAGCTATTTCTCCCTGCAAGACGTCAGGAATTTCGTTGGGGGGTTCTTCCACCCTCTTCCTTTTAAGTGATGGAACTAGTCTGCAGATTTAGAAGATTACTAAATGGTTAATTAAATAAAATGATAGTGTAGTACCGAATTTCTGGACCAAAGAGAGCTTCGAGTGTCGGTCCAAATGTTCGATGAAGAGTGTGGTTGATAACGGATGACTGCAGATTGTTGCTAACTGCTTCTAACAGCGGAGTAAAGCAGTGATGTTCTTTGAATGTGACCGAGTGAGCAGGAGGTGCAACACTTCCGTCCCCTCGTTTAAAATCCAGTTTCTCCAAGACTACTTCACACTTAATAAGAGTTTCTAAGGGCATGCGTTGGGAAGGATTCGATAGTATTTCTAACAGTTTCTTCATTTTGCTTAACTTCTCCACATCTGGAACGTATTTCTTGTGACTAGGTGCTACTCGCTTGCAGAGAAAATGTTTAAAAAAGTTAAAATTGATGACATACGCTCACCGTCATTGCCCATTTTAGCAATCATTTTCCTAAGGGGCTCAATGTACTTGCTGAGCTGACGGACTTTCTCGCGATATGCTTGCTCCTCCTGCATTCCCATTGGACTCTGACCAGGCTGGCCGGGAGTATTCAGAGAACTGCTCGGACTAGGTGCCATTCCTACAGATCGTTGAGGACCGGGCATTAAACTCATTTGTGAGCTCGGCGAATGTACTAATGCTGGAGAGGCAACCATTTGATTGCTCGGCGGAGGACCACTTAAGTTTGCGGGTGACTGAACAGAAGGTGTTGGGCTTTGACGGAGAAATTGAGTGGGAGTGGAATTACGTGGAAAACCGGCATTGGGCGCGTTCATTATGATATTATCTGCGGGTTTGCGTTGTATTTGTTGAAGTTGACCAAGCATTTGGTTTGGAAGTTGATTGGGCATTTGGTTTTGTAGTTGATTAGACATCGGATTTGCACCTCCCATTGGTCCTTGCATTGTGGGCCCTATTAAAGCGCAATGTAACAAGAGTGGCAGAAATAGATTAGTTACCGAGTTGGTTCTGTAATTGATTTTGAAGAGGATTTGGCACTTGGTTGTTAACTTGACCCTGCATTTGACTGTTGAGCTGATTTTGCAACTGATTTGGTAATTGTCCAGATATTTGCGCCATAGTCGAAATAGAAATTTGTCCCGGCATTTGCCCCCCAATTTGTCCACCTAATTGACCGCCCATTTGTCCGGGGAGTTGATTACCCATCTGATTTGCCATGGGGCCATTACCGCCCATTACCATTGTGGGTCTAGTTTGCATATTTCCCATTCCTTGGTTGGGACCTCTGTTTATAGTTTGTAATAAATTCGTGGCCGACATCGGCGGCATCTGCTGAGGACCGCCCATCTGTACTTGCTGCTGAGGTCCTCCCATTCCCATCATTTGATTATTGCGCGAGCCTTGGCTCGCTAAAGTTTGCAAGGCATTAATAGGATCCGGCATGCCTGGACCACTTTGTACTGATCCAGGACCGTTCATTTCACCTCCCTTTTTGGTATCTACAATTGAAATAAAATTGATATTATTAAGTGAAGATACAGATTATACCCTGCAAGTTATTTCGTAGTTAATAGGATCTGAATATAAAATAACATCACGAAAAAACAACATGAACAGATACTGGTTAACATTAGACACTTATGATTTTAAATTTGTGGACTAGACCACCATTTTTTAGAAGAAAGTTACCAAAAAAAATTTACATCTGAATTGTATGTAAATTATATTTTTCTATTATATGTAATTGTTACAATCACACAGGCTAAAAATATGCATACACTTTTATGTAAATGGGAACTACTCAATTTCTTGTGTACTTTTACCATAAAAAACTATTGACAAATGGTTGTTCCAAGGGGTATTTCACTAGGCAACCTTTTGTACATGTACTGTCGAAATTGACAGTACTTGGTGTACTCCCCCTGTCCTGCCAGTAATTCTATGTACCTACTTCTGGGTACTACATGGGGTACTACTAAGTTCTGCCTATGTACTACCCTCCTGCATGTGTACTGCTAGGTATTATCAGGTCCTCTTTACATACTGTCATGACCCACGAAACAAAGGACCATCTTATCGACATTTTTCTATTAATGCCATCAAAAAATGTTGCAATGATCAATGCTTTACTTACAACGCTAAAACGCTATATAAAGCAACAATATTTAAACAGTCAGATCTTTATTTGTTTTAAGAATTTATTTTGGTTGCTTAAAATTAGGCGCCCTTCATTAGAGAGTTTGTCATTTAAAAGTAGACATAGGGAAAAACAATACACACAAATCCCTATGTCTACTTCTTAATAAACATCACTGTATATGTTATTTATACCAGGTGATTCATTTGTCTTGAGAGGATTTAATAACTTGTTGGGATCATATTTTTTGGAAAAAAGTCTCATATAAAAATTGTCTAAGGGCCGGTTTTACAATTATACTTTTACTGAGAATAAGATATTCTTGGAATAACTGCCATAGCAACATGTATGCCATTGGTTGACACAATGGTAACCAACGCCACCGTCGACATTTATTCTAGGTATAGCTTATTCTCGGTATACCTTCATTGTAGAATCGGCCCTAAGGGGGCCTGTAGTCACTTTGAGGATGAGCTTGATCTCGACCTTCAAGATTATTCCAACTTCAAAATTTTGAATGAGAAAAATAGGGACATCAGACAGTTTCTTATTTATCAATTGCTAGGATCCCAGGGCCATAGCCAGATTGAGCGGGTCAATAAATCGACAGAGGGGGCGGGCGAAATAACAATTTTCCGTGTCCCGCGCAGATACCACTAGCTGTAGAAATTAGTTATTTTTGGAAAATACATCTGGTCGCATACCGTTTAACTGATTTAATAATTGATAACAGCCTCCTAGTTCAAACCAGATATTAAAAAAAACTTTTTTGACAGTCTTACACCCATTATGCCCAATGTACACTGCTAACATTTCAACTAAATCAAAATAACCGGTTTGCCGAAAAAAAATTTTAGATTTTTAACTTTTTTCGCCGGACTTTTTTAAATCTTTAAAAATCTTTGAAACTTTTTTGATTTTTTTTAAATCGCTTGACTCTTTTTTTGATATACCTGGTGTGGTATAGTATTGAAAAGAGAATTTAGTATGCTGTCTGATTTTAATATTAAAATACACAGGGTGTTCCATTTTAAAGGATGAGGTTAGGTCCGATAACGTTTCTACTTGACCCCATATACTTATTTTGAAAACGACAGATTATGCAACAATCATTTGTAATAACCACATTTCTGATAATTTCATAAACA